AATTAACAAGGAGGAGCTTAGCATTTTACATCAAATGTTTTAAATATTTTAACATTAGCGTTTTAACTTAAAAACAGTTTTGGATGAAAAGTGAGAATTTGATAGTGTACTCAACTATCCTAGCAAGTGTTGTGCTTTTACACGTCAACATATTGTAGCAGCGTCCACACAACAAACATAACTGTGAACATCATAAACAACGACAGTGTTTTCATAATTGTAGTAAGTGCCTCTGATGATGGTTGTGTCAAACCGAAACATGTAAGGCAGAAGTGATAAAAAAGTGACCTACAAATTGTTACACTCGACGGACTTTCTATTAACTTTGTGATTGATAGTGTAACGGACCAAAAAATGAAACAATTCAAAATAGATACAAGTTTGTTTTTATGTGTCCTTCTGTACCTCTATGTACAAGCCTTAATGAAGAGGTAAAAATGTGGATTTGTGTGCACTAGGGTGGTAAAGACGAAGATTCAGAATGCTATTGCTCATCACTTTGGAGTGCAGCCACAATCACTCTACCTGACACATCCAACGTTTTTTTCACGCCTCACCGCTGCCCCCGCCCTGACAGTACATGACGAGTACTGGCATCCACATATTGACAAGGTCAATTTAAATTTTATTATAAGAGCATGATGTTTTTTATGGGCTTGAGACATTTCTTTACAGCCTGTGTTGTGCTATGTTCTTACATCACTTTGGTTTTTACACCGTGTGGATGTGGGAAGCGTTGCTCACATTATGGAGGTACATTCTTCCTCCATGTTTACGGTCGACGTGATCAGTTCAGCCATGAAGATGGAGGCAGCATGTTCTTCAAGTGCCAGAAACACTGCTCACACCCACATGGTATAAAGACCCAAGAGGTGTATCACCATCAAAAGTGAGCCACCTAAAAATCCACAATTGATAAATGAAGCAGTTCCTTACTGCCCATATGTAAGGAACAAAGAGTTCATACTTTGTATTCAATGTCTTATCAGATCTTTCAGTTACAGTCCTTTTTAGATTGTAATGAAACAGTATATGGTACAGTTTTCTCAACCTGTTGTATGTAGGCTGTTGGTTTAATTGATGCCAGCCTGTAAATTCCAGTTACTGTGATATACATACGAAGGTTGGAACTTTAATAGGGGAAACTATTTATTTACAGCTGATACAAAATAGATGAATGTTTCGAAGTTTTACTGTCCTTCACTGTAGTCACCAGCATTGTCTACAACCCATTGCCAGTGACGTGAAAGTCGTAGGATACCTTTAGCAGCACCTGTTGTGTTGAGAGTTCGAATGGAGTGGTCTACTGCCTGAAGAAGTTCTGAAGCGAATGCCATGAAGTGGTTGCTTCATCTTAGAAATCAAGTCGAAGTCACAAGGGCTTAAGTCTGGGGAGTATGGTGTATGGTACAGCACTTCCCAGCCCCATCGATCAAACAAATCAGCCACAGCTTGCGCTGCATGCGGCCAAGCATTGTCCTGCCAAATGATGGGTGGGTTCAGCAGAAAGTGTTGCCGCTTCTTTCTCAAAGCTGGTTGCAGGTTGTGTTCCAAAAATGAACAGTAATACTGGACGTTGATGGTCTGGTGTCGGGGAACGGTATGCGTTAGGATAACACCATTACAGTCGTACACGAGAATCACCATAACTTTCACATTGCTGGGGTTCTGACGAACTTTTGATTTTCATGGTGATCCATAATGACGCCATTCATTCGATTAGCATTTCATTTGTGGCTCGTACGATTTGGCTTATGTCTCATCCAGTATAATGACACGGCATAAGAAAGCCTCTCCTTCGCGCTCATAGCGCTCCAAGTGGTTACGAACAGCATCATATCATAGCCATTTCTGCATTTCCGTCAAATCATGCAGAATCCATCGTGATGCAGTTTTTCTCATGCCCAGGTGTTCCTTCAGAACGTGAAGCACAGTCGTATGCGCTAATCCTGTCTCCCGTGCCAGCTCACGAATTGTATGGCATCGATCACTCTCCAGTAAGAGCTTACACTTCTTCACTGGCACTAGGACGAACTGGCCGATGCATGTCTGCCACATTTTGGCATCCCTCACTGAAGGCTTTTACCCACCTTGCCACTGTTCTGTAAGGCAATGAAGATTCCACGCAAGCCTCTTGAAGACCTTGATGACACTGTCGTGCTGTATGGCCTCTGGCACATTCAATCTTTATCCAACTCTGTTGTTCCTGTTTAGAAAACATTGTGACAACACTACATTAGACCACCAGCTAACAGGAGGCTCTGTTCTTCTCGTCACTGCGCATGCGCATGATATGGGAAGGGAGAGCCCATTTGCTCTGAGGTAAGGTAGGTATGTAACGTGTGGTATAAGTGATATTATTTGGTTCCATTGCATGGTGTCTCTACAGCAGTGTTGCCACTATTAAAGTTCCAACCCTCCTATTTCACCACAGCTGGAAAAATGCTATTACTTTGTTTCTGTCTCACTTTTGTTGTATCTGAGAGGACTGACAAAGTGATTAGGAAGAAGGCAGAACTGGCTGGTCACTGCTTCCCTCATAATTGGCGAGATGAATGTCTGTTAGAGTGTGGATATGTTGCATATCTTAAATTGTTTCATATGCTATTTTACATAAATTTTAAGTGTTAATGTTCAATATTGTCACTTATGACTTTCATATTTTAATACCACATAAAACACTGATTATTGTAAAGAAACAAGTTTAGATGTGCGAGTAATAATTAAATTTTTAGGCTGTTATTCATACTGTACAGCAAATTTGTCCTTAGGAGATCTGCAGGTTTACCAGTTCATGAATCAGAAAGAGTTGAAAGCTACTGATATTGGAGATGCTAGAACTGTATAGAATATGAATTTTGCTATAATAAGTAATATTGGAACACACACATTATTGTAAAGTTAAATAATTAACATGTTTCTTATTACAGTCAAAAAATATGTTTTGTGTGTTGATGTAAAATTCTGTCATCAGATACATTCTTCATGTGATGGACAGTTTTTCAGATATGTCTTTTTCAGTGTATTGAGCATGTATAGATTCTGTAAAAATACACACACTATAAACAGTAAGCATAATCAGAGGAAGTACTTCCCATTACAGCTTATATTTTGTTCAAAGAATTTTTTTCCTTTCAGGAGACTTACGAATCATTCCATTATACTTCTCTTCTTTATCTTTCTGATTATGGCCGTGACTTTCAAGGGGGAAGATTTGTCTTTATTGATGGTGACAACACAAACAGAACCGTAGAGCCAAGAAAAGGTATTTCAGGAATGTGTATATGAATATGAACCTAACTGACATAGTATATCACTTTTGGAAATGGTGCTTGATTTTCTGAACACATCCAGTCACCAATGGATAGATGCAGTCTTAAAGAATTTTGTGTAAGGTGAAATTGTGTTAATAGGACATGAATTTCTCATACAAAGTAATGTAATGGAGTGGAGAATTCATGGAGAAATAGTGTTAAATCTACGAGCAAGTCATATTAGTCGGAAGTCGGCCCTAGTGTACAGATTGTATTAAACCAAATTCATACTGAAGAGTACAATCTTCTGGTATATACTGCCATGTAGTCCATTGAAAGTCAACTGACGTTTCGGAGGAATATCGCCTCCATCTTCAGGGTTGAATAAGCTGGCCAAGATACCAGAATAAAAGGTAATTCATAAAGTCCCGATGAGGTCACTGGATTTTTTCAGTTGACCTGATCCTTCCAGCCACACTAGGCCCTGGGGTTTACTCAGTCTCTAACAGAAATGAGTACCAGGAATTAATTAAATAATTTTCCTGGGGAGTAAAGCGCGGCTGGCGCATAAGGCTGACAACCTTACCGCCATCTTTGAGCCGATTGTCTAGATACTGTGGGACCCTCAACGTCTTGCAACCCTATGGGCATTCACGGCCTGGTACAGGGATAGCTTTACTTTTACTTTAGAACTCATGTTAGTCAAGGACTTGACAGATGTACATTATAGCTGTAAAATGACAAGGAGTTTAATAAAATCAGTGAAATGGGCAAAGAATGGATACTGAAGCAAATATTAAGATTTACATTGGAAGACCCAACAGTGGTACTGTGCTATACAGACCATCAGGTGTCAAATCAGTCACATTAGATAAACGTGATTTGAGGTTTTCATGGCAGTGGAAATTTTAGTTTGCAGTCTGTGGTCTTCTCAGTTATGACACTGCATGTGGTGGTTAAAAGGGGTACACAGTAGCATAGTTAGTTGAGACACTATGCTACAAGCTGGAAGGTCATGGGTTTGAGTCCTGATGAGGTGGATTTTTTTTTTTTTATTTACCTAATGCTTCCAGCTATACTATGACCCTGTGGTAATCTCAGCCTCTAACAGAAATGAGTACCAGGAATCTTCCTGGCGACTAACGGGCTGCTGGCGCAGAAGGCTGATAACCTTACCACCATATATGAGCCGGTTGCCTGAAGAAAATGTGGGAGCCTTGATGTCTCACAACCCTATGGGCCTTCATGGCCTATCACAGGGATAACTTTACCGCTTTATGTGGTGGTTAGCGTTTCCGAGGAGCCTGCTCCCTACGCCATTAGTTCTGTTTTAAAGATGGAGGTAGCAGGTTCCTTCAAATCCTTGGTAACCACCTACAAGACTACATGAGGATGATATGGGTAGGGCATGTAGCATGCATGGGGAAGAAGAGGAATTAATATACGATTTTGGTGGGGAAGCCAGAAGGAAAGAAACCACTAGGAAGACCTAGACATAGGTGGGAAGATATTATTAAAATGGTTCTTAAGATAGGATGGGTTCAAATGGACTGGAATGATCTCAGGATAGGAACCAGTGGAGGGCTCTTGTGAATATTGTAATGAACCTCCAGGTTCCGTAAAATGTTGTGGAATTCTTAAGTAGCTGAGCAATGGTGGCTTCTCTTATGGGCTCATCTCTGTATAGTTAGTATATTCCTACATTGGTGCTTACCTACCAGACTACATGGTATCAACCCTGACCAAAATTTGAATCTTCGCCACTTTGAAACCTAAAATCTTACTTGTATAAATATCATATTTTTGGATCTTCTTCAGTTATATAAATATTTTAAATCAGTGAAGTTGTATACAAGTATAGGAAATGTTTAGAATTCTTTATTTAGAAACAATTGCAGTGTTTTACCATCTATTTCTTTCCTTACAGGTAGAGTATGTATGTTCACATCTGGCTCAGAGAACCTCCACTATGTGGAAAGAGTCATGTCAGGGACTCGATATGCCCTAACTGTGTCATTCACTTGTGATCAGAAATATGCGATAGATGACCCAACATTACCATCATCTCCACAGAATGAACAGAAGCAATAGCAATTGTGATTTGGTTCCTATTTGTAAAATGACAAATATTTGTATACAGTTAATTCAAATACCGTCTGTTCAGAAAAATAATGTTGTTTTCTGAAACACACATTTGCTTTAAGTTCTCAACCATACGCATTAACAAAGAATGAAAACATCACATTCTTCGGTGAAATATATAAAATACACTCAACTCTCGATTATCCGGGATAATGGTGGGCATGGAAGTCGCGATTAATCAAAAACCCAGTTAAGACAAATTTTATTAAAAGTAGTACTGTAATACTGTACCTTCATAATACTATAGGCCTACCTGTATTTAAATTTATTCAACCTCATTTTTATGTCATCTCATGGCCTATTTAATACTTTTTTTACATTACACTGAAGTATGAATTAGTTATTTCAATCACAGTGTTCAACAACATCCAACACTTTATGAATATTCACATTTAATACTTTTAAAAAAATTTAATATTGTCGTTTGCTTTTTCGCGGCATTTTCTTTTTTACGGATATCCATACGAAGCCTACGTAATATTAGCTTGTCACTTAATAAACTGTTCTCTTCACTCTCAAGATAGTCTAGTAAGGATTCCAAATGATTAAGAGCAGCACCATGTGATATTTTCTTACTAGCAGCACTGTCCACCTCTTCCTCATTCTCACTTTCTTCCCGCTCTTCTGCCTCCACCCCACTGAACTTACGGTTTTGTCACTGCTTAACATTTCGAAGCCCGGCTCACACGAGTTTCTGTTGAATACTTAACACAACACGCTTCCTTTTACACCCTGACATTTTGCTAACGCACTTGAAGATCAATACAAAGAGACCAACTGGGGCGGTGTATCTGTCCTTGAAACTTTCCACAAATCCTTGTATTCTTTCACCCCTACCCTAGAACATTGTGTTAGCATAACGGGACCAAAGAATGCAGAGCTCGGTTCACACTAGTGCAAAAATAGTGTTACAACTCACCATGTGAAACAAAAGTGAATGAATATTAAACAACATATAAGCCTCAAAAAAGCCTCAGTAGCCCCAGTTAAGCCGCAATCTGGTTAATCCGCCCCCGGATAATCGAGAGTTGACTGTATAACATTTCCATATTACAGAATGTTAAAAGAGTAAGTGAAATACTTATGTAGGTACTGTTGTCCCTGTGCTTAACTAATTAAGCACTAGAACATGAAGGCTTGTGGAGGAATGGATGTATAAATCCATGAAAAACTTATATGGCATTTATAAATAACTTTCAAGAAGCACAAAGAATGAATTTCTGCACATGATGGAGTTTCAGCTGTGTTGCATGATAAGTTTGCTTCCATTCTCAAATTTGGAGGTGAACTGCAACATTCATAAAAAATACATTCTGTAAATTGTCAGTAACAGTCGCTGAAACAACTTATGTCAAGAGAAGTAAGTATGGTCTTGAATGTTTCTGTTCCTATAAGAAAGTATTAAATATCTCATTCTATTAATTTAAGATGGCTCTTTGTGATAAGTACTTGAGAATAAAGAATTTTATGGATAGCACAATTTAACCAATTTCCTTTAACCCATTCTGGACATTTGTTGATATGTTATCAGGACTCCATAATTTCATCGACAGCTGAATGTGTACTAAATATTGCAGGGATTATTTCAATGCACATAACGATTATTTAAGTTTATTTATATATATATTCCGCATTAAGTGGAGGAATTGTTTTGAAAGAGACCGTGGACCTGTCGTCTTGACAGATTACTGATGATGATGATATATATTCACTGTTGGTAGAAAATTGTCTCAAATGGCCTGGCCAAGGAGAAAGTTGTATAACCTAAGAAAAGGGGAATTACAGTGCTTTTTTTTTTTCAGTCTGTACGATACCAGCAGACAACTAACGTGTACCAGAGAAATTCAAGTCACACAACTCCTGGTGCATTATATGTTTGAACCTCGAGGCGAAAATGTGAGAGTACCTGTAAACGTGTCTTTTGGGGGTGGAGGAAGACTGGATAAGTGCAGTAACCTCACTAGTGTACCTTAGAATGCATGTATTTCTTAGAACTTCCAGTACTCAGTACAAAAAAGTACAAAGTGCTGAAAATTGAATATATGCAGCCATGTTTCGGTCATCGAATATGCCCTGCAAGTTTTTCTTAAGTTAATTTTTGGAAAATATTTTATACATTTTACAGATTTTAAGTTAATGTTGCCTGGCAGCAATGAATCACAAATTTGTATTCAACACAAAATATCACTAGTCCAGGAGGATGAGGTTGGCAGGGCATGTAGCACGAATGGAGGTGGTGAGGGATGCATATAGGATATTGGTGGGAAAGCCAGAAGGAAAGAGACGCTGCAGTACAAGAGATCTGGTTGTAAAAGTATTTAATGCTAGTAGCGAAAAAAGCATTGGAGGGTGCAGAGGGGGGAGCACTCAAAATAGTTTGTAAAGTAGCATACCTTCTTACCGATTGTGCTCTCGTCCCAGGAGGCCATTTTAAATTTAGTTCCTATATGAGGGACATAGATGGCAGGAGCATTGCTCCGAGGTGTCATGGCGGCCATGTTGCCAACCAATAACATGGGAGTTTCACGGGGTTGTAAAAAACATCTGCAACGGAAAAACAGATTCGGCTCCGTTAGCTCAACAGATCAACTGTGGGTCGTGTCCGGTATAATGTGGCTATCATCTATGCTCCCGGCTCCCCAAGGTACAACGAATGCGGAACGCATGGTTGGTGCCTGATCGTTCCTGATTGGCTGTTCAGTACGTAAACAGGTCCGATGTGACAAAATCAAACCGGCTGATTCACAAATTCAATAGCTTCAGTAGACTTTGCGATTTGTGTGAACAGGTTGTTTTGCTTGTTTGGAGGTAACGTATTTGTTTGCACTGAGAATGATTTCTGAAAAGTTTGAAATTTATGTTTGGTGGTAACGTATTTTTTTGCAATGAGAAAGATTCAGAAAAGTCTGAAATTCTAAGACAAGTTAACAGTCAGTTTGTGCGACTTAATATTATTTAACTATTGCGTTTTCGTCAATACCAAACGCTAAATAACTTTAAAATTTTAGGGATTTGAGGTTCTCACAGCGTGATTGTAAAGAGTACTGAAGAGTAACGTCATGTAGGTCGCTAAAAGTCCACCTACTTTTCAGAGGAACTTATTTTTCTTCATCTGCAGGATCAAAGAGTAAACCAAGAAAGCAAAGCTTGCGACTGACATGTTAGTTGTTTGCTTGACGTACCCATCTACGGAGAAGTTTGGGGAAGTACGTTCTTGCGAAACGTAGCTGCACATTTAACGGACTACATGGCCTTACAGCCCAGAAGAAGGTAGTGATTTTCTGGTTTGAAACCCGTTTTCTTGGATCGAAATGCACAATATCTCAACTCCAGTCTCAGAGGTCATCTTTCAGATGTGTAACATGATAACGTTGGAGAAGAACGTCAGAAATGAAGGTTATCACATAGCCATGACCCTTACATTATCGATGATACGCTTAATTTTTTTTTTGTAATTCAGTATCAGTAGTAGTAATCGACGGGTTCCAGTATTTCAGCAGTTTCCATAACATCAGTTATGCAGATTTCGTTTTCCACTAAAGATTCGTGATACTCTTTGCTAGAGGATTTTCTGTATCAGTTTCCACAGGTGGAGTTTAGAAGAAGAATGAGTGGAGACATTACATCATTGAATCAAAATGTATGGGATTGTGATCCAGACTTATTTGAACTCATCCAGAAAGAGAAGAAACGACAGTTGCATGGGCTGGAAATGATTGCTTCAGAGAACTTTACATCACTTCCTGTTCTACAATGCCTAAGTTCATGTCTACATAACAAATATTCAGAAGGGCTTCCAGGACAGAGGTAACAATTAAATGCATGTGAAAGTGTTTGATCATGATTTATTTCATTGCCTTGCAGGTAATACTGGATTGTAACCAATCATTAAAAATTTTCATATGGTTGTTTTAAAAACTAGCTTTGCTTTGTCCAAGATGTGCAGTAATATCGCCTTGAAACACTATCAGATTCTTCACAGAGTTATAATGTAGATTACAGTTTGGTTCTCCTGGTGTGCCATAGTCCAGGGTTGGTTTTTGTTCCAAAATGCTTCTTAATAGTTCTGGTTTTGTAGGAGTTGTGACTGAAGAGTTCTCTCCATGGAAATATTACCTTCTGCTTCCTGCCTGCTCCATGCTTGTTTTTGCTTGTCTTATCATAAACACTTTGCTGGACGGGTCAAGGGGTGGGCATCAGATGAAGAGAGATACCAAAAACCAAAAACTGATGCTGGAAGCAGGGTCATCAGCAGCGACTTGAAGCACAGAGCAAATGATGCTCGAGATGGTTCAAGTTCGTATAGCAACGGGCGTGACCGGAGAGGTTTGAACGGCTGTTGTACTGCGATGTGGAAAGCAAATGGAAAAACTACCACGTTATCATTTTACCTGGATAGTCTCTTTCCAAAAACAGACACCATGCTTGCGAACCAGAAGACGAAGAAGACGTAAGAAGATGCTGGATGACCTTGGGGACAGAAGAGGATGCTGTCGTTTGAAGGAGAAAGCTCTAGATCGCATTAAGTGGAGGAACTGTTTTGGAAGAGACTGTGGACCTGTCGTCTGACAGATTACAGATGAATGAATGAATCATAAACACTGAAGATGGATGTAACATGTTCCTATGAAATGTTGGTTGATTTTAATTGGACCACATGTCATTATATTCCAGAAGATAGAGCTCCACAGTTTTGGTTTTGTTTGTTAGTTTGATGAAAGTAAGGGAATCAAACCATATTGTGCACATCTGCAGAGTTTTCTATTCCCATTGTTTAGCAAGAGAACAAGCTATTTAAGGCAGTCTCATTATATGGAAAGTTTGCATAACTTTTTTGTTATGGGTTTATAAAAATTGTATTTATTAACATTGCATCAGTTATCTGGAGTATAAACTTGCTAAATTTACTTTTTCGCTTGGATAATTAGTAAGTCATTACTCAGAATTGTGGTATAGCTCTTAGTACTTAACAATTGTATTTGGAAGGCCATGGGTTTGATACTTGGTCCAGAGTCTGGCTGTCTACCTAGAGTTTTTTTTTTTTTTATCATATTTCTGCAAACAGACATTGGTGCTGTGATACAGACACATGACTGCTTCCTTCCACATCCTTGTCATTTCGTCAGTCACAGTCATTCTGCCAAGTGACAATATTTACTTACTTACTCATGGAGCTGAGCCCTACTGGAGGAGCTGCCAATTCTGCAGCTACTCAAGAATTTCCCAGCATTTTATGTAACCCGAAGGTTCATTACCCTGCTCACAAGAGCCCTCCACTGGTCTCTGTCCTGAGCCAGATCAGTCCTACCCATACCATCCCATCCATCGCTCTAAGATCCATTTTAATATTGTCCACCCACCTATGCCTTGTTCTTCCCAGTGGTCTCTTTCCTTCACGCTTTCCCACCAATATCCTATACGCGTTCCTTGTCTCTCCCATTCATGCTACATGCCCTGCCCACCTCCTCCGCCTTAACTTGATCATTCTAATTATACTTGGAGAAGAGTACAAGTTATGAAGCTCCTCATTGTGCAGTTTTCTCCAACCTCCTGTCACTTCATGTGACAATACACAATATTTAATTTGTGTAGCTGAAAACATCTATATGTATACAAGGCAGAGCCTTGGAATTCTGTCTTTACTTATGCTTCAGTTAGCACTGCAGTCTTGGCCTTTTTAGAATGAATTCTCCACTTTTTTTTTTTGCATGCATATTCAGTGAAATCATGATTTAATATGTAAAAGTGAATCAGTGGATGGAAACAAGCTAAAGATGGGAATTGTTTATTCTGTAGGTTACATCCTTTTGAGACCATTCAGAATAATGTGTAACTGCATATTTATACAGTGGCGGATTACAAAGTATACCTGGGAAGGGGGAATGGAGTTTTTTGTGGTAATGTCAAAATTATAGTTTTTAATTAAATTTATGAAGTGTCTGTTCATCTTGAATGCCTCTGTGGTCAAGCAGTCAGAGTTTCTGGCTACAGATCCAGATTTGGATTTTCTGAGAAGTAGTGGGTCTGGAATGGAGTCCACACAGCCTTGTGAGGCTAATTGAAGAGCTATTTCAAGGGAACAGTGGCTCTGGTCTAGAAAACTGAAATTAATGGTCGTGGGTATTCATTACGCTGACCACGTGATACCCTCTTTCTGCTAAAGTTAGCACTAACTTCACTGACAAGTGGTGGTCACTCATCGGTATAGTTCACTTATGGACTAAAACCATGGATTTTTTTTTCTTTTGTCTGTTCCGCTTTAATATGTATCTGTGAGCCAAATAAAGTTACTAAGGTAGGTATTTTTAACGAGGATTGTTTTTAAGAACTCTGCATGTAAATTTCAGTAGGCTTTACCAGTTTTTAAATAAACCAATGACAAAAAATTAGTGAAAATATATTGCTAATAATGTGGTGCTTGCAGGTTTAGTGTTGTGTGTCATCTCATTTTCTGGGTAGGCGGAACATTGTAATTAAAAAAAAGTATCATTATGGAGCAATCCTGTTCAGGTTTTCCTCATAGCAGTTACGTTGGAGAAGTTGCCACTCACTGAAGGCAAACCAGCCAAATTTATGGATAGCACAGGAGACGCTGAAATTATCTTACTGCCATAATTTGAACCTACTTTGCTTTGCACACTGCAGACTCATTGTCCTACATAATTTTGCAGTAGGTCCTTTATTGGAGCTGGGACAGCTCAGTTTAGCTATGAGGTTATTTGCTGAGGTTCAATTCTCAACAATGTCAATAGATTATTCGCATTTCTACAGTTTCCAGACTGACTCCGGGACCCACCCAGCTTCCTATCCAGTGGACTCTTTTCCTGGGATAAAGTGGTAGGGACACTAGCCTGACCACTCACCTCCATCAAGTACCAGGTACAAGAATGATGGAGCCATACTTCCACTTCCCCAAAGGTCTTCATGCCATAGAACTTAATTAAGAACAGGGCAACTTTAGCTTTATGAATTATTCCTGTGTTATGGTTCCGTAGACATTTTGGACATCCCTGTGTTTTTTAAACGCATTGAAATTGAAAATAAATGTTATATACATTAGTTTTAGTACCAATTATGTTGGTAAGTTAGAGGGTGTACAGAAATAATCACCACTTTACAGAAATTAGAAAAGGCATCTGGTAATTACTTATGTACATCATATTCCAAACACAACAAGTTGTACAAGTTGATTTTCTAATACTGAGTGTCATTTTTCTGTCTTCAGATATTATGGTGGTAATGAATACATTGATGAAATTGAAATATTATGTCAGAAGAGGGCACTTGAAGCTTTCCGACTTGACCCAGCAGAGTGGGGTGTCAATGTTCAACCATATTCTGGTTCTCCAGCAAACCTTGCTGTATATACTGCTGTTGTAGAGCCTCATGGGAGAATCATGGGTATGTATACTTACACAGCTATTGCATACAATTGATTTCAAACTAGGAATCTCTGAAGTGGGGGGTATATCTCCTGGAATATGATACCATGTAATGTGGTTGAAGTTTACTAACATTCCTCCAGAATGCTGATAAACTTCTACCAGGCTGCATGGTGTCATATTTCAGAACATAGCATTTTTCATAGTCATTGCCATGAGAACCTCAATTTTCTATCACTAGATTGTAGAAGTTGTGCGTAATACAATTTACATTTCAATGCACTAGGCTTTAGGTATGTGAATTCCTTATCCATATGAATTTTGTGTTCATTCCTTCTGTATCTGATGATACATGGTGACATGCATGTGTGTGTGTGTGTGTGTGTGAACTCACTCCTGCACACGCGCGCACGTCAGCTAAAGTAACAGTTCTCTGGCCTTTATTATCACTGATTAGATTATACTGAAATATTGAAATGGTTTACTTATTTCTTATGTCACACACACACATAATGTCTGTAATTTCGTGATTAGGTCAGTTGTTGTATGTGCATCTGAAATAGGCTAATCTTCATAAAGAAATGGGGACAATACCAAGGAATACTGTTTTGTGTTCCGGAGGTTACGAATTCGAATCTTGGTCTGGATATTGTCCATCTTGATTGAGACTTCTGGTATTTCACAGTCATTCCAGGAAAATTTCAGGATGGTATCTCAAATTAGGCTACACCTTCCTCCTGCATCCTCTCAAATTCATTACTCACTAATCGTCCTATAATTCATCAATGCATAATTTGAGCCACACACAGCATAGCTAAATGAATCGTAAAAAATAAAATAAGTAAAAAAATAACAGGGCACTTTAACTTCTTGACTTGCACATGAAAATTAGTGCACAGAAAGCAGGCTTTGAACACTTGTTAGTTTTATTAAATTCACCTTCTAAAAACAAACAGAAGTGACATCATGCTGACTAACACCATGGAGCCGAGTCCTTCATGAGAAGCCACCATTTACTCAGCAAGGATGATAGAAAAGAGGAATGCATACCAGGTTTTGGTGGGAAATCCAGAAATAAATAGACCATTTAGATCAGATCATTTAGAAAACGTTTCCTTTGCTGTCATTGAACATTTTAAGCTGTTTGTCGCATTTCTAGATTAAACATTATACATTATTATTGAAATATTCAGACATGAGAAGGGTCTTGGTATAGAAATCAATATGGGAAAAATAAGATAGTAAAGAGTAAATGAGTATGTCTTGAGTTCCTCAGTTCAGTTAGATGTAACCCACATTCCCTCTACACCAGCCAAAGTTCCCTTCACATGTAACTGGGGTTCTTGGACTAAAGTCAGACATTATAAAACTGTTAGAGTTGTGAATTGTTTGTTAGGTCTTGATCTTCCTGATGGTGGTCACCTCTCTCATGGCTTTATGACGGCCACTAAGAAGATCTCTGCAAGTTCGATCTTCTTCGAGTCGATGCCTTATAAGGTTGATCCCAATACAGGCCTTATTAACTATGATAGCCTAGCAGAAACTGCAAAGCTGTTCAAACCCAAACTGATAATTGCTGGTGAGTGATTATAATATAGAAGTAAGATCATGCTTAGATAATTTTATTTCAGATTTGTGCAGACAAAATGTGAGAGAGTGTTTATGCGTATACATGCACATATGACCATTGTCTGTGTACAGGAGGATGTGTATGGTTGTTTCCTGGGTGGAACTCAAATTGACTTGTGCCAGGACAGCACTCAGGGTGTATCTGTCAAGTAGCAAAACAGAATCATAAAAATGTATTACCATGTGATCCTTATTTTTCTGTAGTTGAATTCTAAAATCTGTTTAAGAACTGCCAGATATAAATATTCGTGACTGTACATGCTGTATCATGAATGGAATGTTTATAATTTTGAGGTATAAATCTCGTTGATATATTGGGTTTTTGGACTTTATCCATCGTCCTGGTTTTTAAGATAACTAATAAAAACACGATGTTTCGGAAACTGGATCTGTTTCCATCCTCAGGTGAAGGAAAACACCTATTCTGGTGGGTCCGTTAGAAAGAGATAGCCTCAATCAATCCAGTGATTCAGGCTAGCTCTTTCTAACGGACCCAGCAGAATAGGTGTTTTCCTTCACCTGAGGGCGGAAACAGATCCAGTTTCTGAAACGTCATGTTTTTATTAGTTATCTTAAAAACCAGGACGATGGATAAAGTCCAAAAACCCAATATATCAGTGTGTCATACACCATCGTCAGAATCCTATAGTAACTACTTATAAATCTCGTGTTTGTAAATACTTTTACATTGTGTGTGAATTTGATATTTGGCACTAATGTAAGCCTGATTATGTAGAGTAATGTTGATAAGAAAATACATAAAATACAAATATAGGGTTGTCGTAAATAATAAGAACTCAGAGTGGATTGAGAGAGAGGCTCTTTTTATTCTCAGCAACAGCAATTGGATCAATATAGTAGGATATCTGTCAAGCATATATGACTTCATTTGCTTTCATGTCTGCTTGTATAGCATGTAAACATAGTAGATTATATGTGCTTATAAAGATACAAAATTATCTAAACTTTACAAGAAATAAACTAAAATTGTAAGTGCAAATTATTAAGTTTTTGCTATTATATGCCCAAGGTCTTAATTAAAGAAACGCATATGAACGTCTACAGTCATATTAATATCGAAGGTAAAATATTTATATTCTCTGTAAAGAAACCAGAAGTCTTAATGAATGGAATCTGTAATGAAGTGTCTGTCTCCATTGTTGTATAATAGCCAGTTACATTTTCTGCTACCAACAGAGCAAGGCAATCCTTTAGTCTGTTGCAGAATAAAGCTTTGTTTAGTTACACATAGAATAAAATGTATGCAAAAAATTTATAAAAGATAAGCATTTTAGAAATGTATGACAAGTTGCTAACCTCTCATGTTTTCAGAAAAGTACAAATTACACTGGCATCAGAATTTTCATTGATTACCGTCTAGACTCTAAAGTCATATAAATGAAAAGATAGAATTTAAAGTAGCACTAAGATGATACTTAATTACATACTCATTCTACTCTGTTGATGAATTCCTACTGCCTGAAAATGACTCACCCTTTTAAAGGTTTCTGTAAATAGCATACTTTGACAATCTTGATGTAAGAGGGCTCTTCAGACAGTAACTTCCATTTATTTTAGGCAATTAGTGTAGGAGTGGGGGAGAGCTTATGCATGCGAGGTAGCATCACATGACTCATTGCCTTGTAAACAGTCTTATATAACTGCTCACCTATTGTTTTTTCTTATCTCTACAGAGTGAGTTATGATGTGTCCTGCAATTGATAATACTGCCAGCTGTGAAATGTGCTTTCTTCATGCTAAAAACATGAGTGCTACAGAAATGCATTGTATATTATGCATGGCGATTTATAGCCAAAATGTATTGAGTAAAGGAACTGTAAGACAATGGTGTAGAATGTTCAAAGATGGGTGAAGAAATGTTCATGATGAAGAGCGAAGTGGTTGGCCATCTGTGGTGAATGATGCTCTTGTTCAAACTGTTGATCAGATATTTTTAAAAGACAGTGTTTCACAATTTTGAGCTTTCATGTGTGTGTATGTGTGCCTGCACAATTGTGTGTTTTTTTTTTAATATCGCTGTAAATCGTTCCCTTATCAAATGATGTATTAACCCCACTGTGTATGAATAATGAGCCTAGGCTAGCACAGTGAATGCCCAGATGGCAATCCAGTGAGTCTGACTTCACTCTGTAGTCTGCTTTTCATGTCACTTCCAGTAGGATCTCAAACCCATGATGCACTGCCATTTATAATTGCATAAAGGTGTTAATTACATCATGTTCATATGTAGGATGAATTATTTATGTTATTCTTAGTTGTATTTGTGCAGGTATCAGTTGTTATTCTCGATGCTTGGATTATGAGCGTTTCCGTAAGATAGCAGCTGAGAATGGCGCTTATCTCTTTTCTGATATGGCACATATTTCTGGTCTTGTGGCTGCTGGAGTTATTCCCAGCCCATTTGAATACAGTGACATTGTGAGCACCACCACACACAAGACGCTTCGTGGACCTCGTGGTGGCGTTATATTCTTCAGGAAGGGTAGGTTTATATGATGTTATAGTCTTTACATCTTTACATCAAGTGAATTAATCTTTCACAGAGTTATGCTCTGCCTGAAGTGTTTAAATTCCGGAAAACAAATTTCAAACTTGTAAATGTTGTGACTTTATTGTATGAAAGTTCTTTGGAAACAGGTTTAAAAATTTAATGTAGTCTTTTTGTTCTGTTTACACTTGAATAAACAGTTGATGCATCTTCCCCCCATAGCTTTTATGTGGGGATTACCGTAATGATATAGCATTATCAAGTCTCCAAATTTGTAGAGTGTAAGTCAGCAGAATTTTGTTTGACTACAGTCACATCATTAGGAGTAGGGATAGCTCAGTCAGTATAGCAATGGGGTACTGGCTGGATGGCTGGAGTTCGACTTCTGGAAGGGGCAAAATTTTTTCTCTTCTCCACATTGTCCACACCAACTCTGGGGCCCACTCATCCTCCTTTCTAGTGGGTACTAAGGTCTATTCACCTGGAGTTAAAGTTGTTGGAGTGTTAAGCTGACAACTCATCTCCTTCTAGCACTGAGTTCAAGAATGGTGAAGCTTTACTTCCACTCCCCCTTATGTCTTCATGGCATAGTGCTTAATTAAACACATGGACAACTGTACCTTTTGCCTTATAGCCATATCATATGATGTACTATTGGACGTTTCACACCAATGCCACCCACATCAGATGGTTCTAGCACATTGCTTCATATAGTTTTCCAGTATATGACTACATTATACAGTGGCAGTATCAGGGAACAGTACGAGAAGCTACCAGTTGTCAAATGAGATGCTGAATGATGAGAAAATTATTTTCAATCCAGTACATTTTCATATAATTTTTGGCAAGAAAGTGTATTCATTGATTTTCTTTTGTGCAAATATTCATAAAAATTTCTGATAGACGTACATGAATTATTGGAAGCATAAGAAATAGTAATGACAAATTTTGTGAAGAGAGCATTTGAAGTTTTCACTGTTGATTGTGGGTGTCATGTTTGCAGGTGTGAGGTCTGTGAATAAGGCAGGAGAGAAAGTTATGTATGATTTGGAGAGTAAGATCAACCAAGCTGTATTTCCTGGCCTGCAGGGTGGACCACACAATAATACCATTGCAGGTATTGCCACAGCCTTCCTGCAAGCGAAGACTCCAGAGTTCCGCAATTACCAGGAGCAGGTGTGGTCATTCATGTACTTCTTATCATAGATTTCTAGTCTCCAACTGAAAGGTACTAAATATTTTACAGTTGTTAGGATACTTGGCAATTCACTTCTTAGTATGAGCTATTTCTGATAATATTATCAGAAATAGCTCATACTAAGAAGTGTTCAGCCTAAAAAGAACTTTTCTTTCTTATATTTATATGTCTTATACTTCTTCCTTTTACTTTCTCATATTTGTAGTTGGAGAAAATATTGTGAACATGGGAAAACTGATCTTGAGATTTTGACTGATTTAAACATTTTCAGCACAACTGAATGTTTCTGGGATGCTATTTTTCTGTCTGTATATATACCTTACTAGCAGCCAAGAAGTTGGATGGATTGTATGCATATTCAATCATCATCATCATCATCGTCAGTAATCTGTCAAGACAACAGGTCCACAGTCTCTTCCAAAACAGTTCCTCCACTTACTGCGATCTAGAGCTTTCTCCTTCAAATGACAGTATCCTCTTCTGTCCCCAAGGTCATCCAGCATCTTCTTACGTCTTCTTCCTCGTCTTCTTGTCACTTCTATCCGCCCATCTATCTTTCCTTCGATAGCTTCTTTTAGAAGGCAGTTTCTGCGTAAAACATGACCAATCCAATTAGCCTTCCGTTTTCTTATTTCATGTAGGATATTCCTCTGCTCACTGACTCTAATTAACACTTCTTCATTTCTCACATAATCGGTCCAACTGATCTTCTCCATTCTTCTCCAACACCACATTTCGAAACTTTCCAGATGTTTCTGATCTACTGCCCTAAGTGTCCATGTTTCAGCCCCATACAGAGCTATGCTCCAAATGTAGCATTTCACTAGTTTCTTCCTCAAATTTACGTCCAATTTGCTGGTAAAAAGATTCTTCTTCTTGCTAAATGCAGCTTTTGCCATGGCAATCCTGGATTTAATTTCATTAGTACACGTTCCATCATCTGTTACCAAGCTACCCAAACATCATATTCAATATTAAGAGTTTATTCATCCTAGGTCAGTGGCCACTGAATATGAACATTTTGCTTAAAAAAAATAAGGGTCCCTGAACACAAAATTGCAATTTTCTTGAAAACATCTGTGATGATTTTGGTTGAATTTCAGTAGTCTGTGGAAACTGTCTCCCCAAATAAGACTTTATAGGTGGTATCTTCAGAAAAACAGTACAGTCTCTATATGTAATGTATGTGCCATGTCCTTGCACTGATGTTTTAATCATACAAAGGACAGAAAAGAGTGTTTTATGACAGTGGGGATTTGTCTGACTGCAGAAAAGATACTTCTCCAACACTTTGAATAGGTGCTAACAGTCTTACCTGTTCTGGTTTTATGGCAGTCCTTGTGGTGTTTGCCAAAGGCCAGTGAATTGATTGTCAAATTTGTGGCCCTCTCTGTTGCCATGGGTTTTGAATGACATACTCATGTTGAGTAAGTTGTCCCTGTGCTTAACTAATTAAGCACTGTGCCGTGAAGACGTATGTGGGAGTCGATGTATAGATCCACATTCATTTGACCTTGGCACTTGCTGGAGGTGAGTGTTCAGCTTCACTCTGTGGCTGCTTTACCCCCAGGGAAAGAGCCCCCAGTACCCGTTGAACAGGAGGTTGGGTGGACCACAGAGCCAGTCTGGACGACATGGAAAAGAGAAAAATCTTGACCCTACTAGGACTTGAACTCCAACCCCTTGGTCATCCAGCCCATAGTCAATCGCTATACTTGCTATGCTATCCTGCGTCCTCATGTTGATACTTAAGAGTTTATAATTTAGCTAGCAGTTGTTACTGAGGCAGTGTCATTTCCATATTGATAGAGGATGGTTTAGAACAGTAGTTCTCTTGTATACATTTAAAAGTTAGGAACATGTTCAGTCAGCACTTAACTCAAAACATATTATTATTTATATTTAAATAAATTCTGTGAAGAATTTACAATTTAAAGCAAAATGAAAGGGAAATGTAATTACCTTAATTTGCAGTGTATTATTAAACGGTAACATGCTTACAGGACATTCGTTCACAGGTAACTGAAGTGTTGCTTGAAGATTTTTGTCCCCCCACCCCAGTGCCTGTATTTTTACACTACCATATTCCATGTAACCTCATGGAAGTAAGTCAGTTTGTGGAACCAGTCAGCATTTGTACGTGAAGACATTGAAAATAAGAGAGATCTGGTGTTTATTTAATTGTAAATTTTGGAACTCATAATTTGTATAGATTTCAGTCATATGAATTTTCCAGGAAAGGAATTCCAAAGCTTTCCATCAAGTCTTCAGCATAGCTTAAGGACAAAGAAGAGCCCCATGTGGTTTTCATTGAAATACTTGAACAAGCATCACTACTTATTAGGAACATTAAAAAAAAATCTTTATGTCTAGAAATACCTTGGACAAACATTACAAATTTTTTCATTTCCCATTAATGGTTGAGGATGCTGTTAATTGTGAAATATTCTGATAGTTTTAGAGCTGCTGTTAGGGTATTCAAGTGTGCTCCATAGTCACAAATATCTGCATACATTACTAGTAGACTGGAAGATGCTTGAATTCAGTTTTCCCTAAAAATGTGAGAGATCAGTATGTCTGCAATTTTATATTTATATATTTATTTATTTACTTTGTATTTATCACCATGTCTTGCTATGTAGGACCAAGAATTATGGTAAGTATTGTGTGAGAGAGTGTAGGAAGAACGTTAATGAATTATATAGTATTTGGACCTGAGAAAAATGAAAGTGAGCAGTTAGGATATTAAACTTATTTGCAGTTTTCCTGAAATGTGAAAAGCAAGAGGAATGAAATAGAAATTGAATTAGTATACGCTAACTCTACCTTATATTGTGGTGTATCTGCTCCATGCAAGAACTGTTGAGCTACAGAAACAGCCTTGGCTAGGTAATACATGCTTGCAGCAGTAGAACAATAGGGTTATGCAGTGCCAGCTACGATGGGTGGTGGGACTACTTACAGGACACTGTCACCTTAAAGGACACCTCTTCAAACTGGGACTAAGTGACAGTCCCACTTGTGAGAGGTGTCAAGAAGAAAACGAAACAGCCACACATATCCTGTGTGAATGTGAGGTCTTAGCTTACTTAAGACTACGTCACTTGGGTCAATACTTTATAGAACCAAGTGACTATTTCGACGCCCCCATGTACAAAATCCTGTGCTTTATTCGAAGCGCAGGATTGCTGAAGGGATAATCAAAAGGGGAAGCACAAAAATTACTGTAGGACGCGGTGCAAGGGCCGAGAAGGCCCACCCCCTGTACATTCATTCATTCATTCATTCATTCATGGGGTTATGCAACCTGTTTCTAGGCAACAGCTCGGTAAACACATTTTCACATAGGGGATGACATCACACAACAATACGGAGTCTGTGTTTTCTATGTGTGGTCAGTGCCAAGAGGATATAAGATTCAGCATAGTTCAGTTCAGGCAGTTGTTGGTAGGATATAGCCATGGGAATTTAGTAGTTGGAGAATAGTTATAAGTCAGCCTGTGAAGACTTAGTGTGTTACTTTACCTGTGCTGTAGTACAGTGATACTGGGATTGTATAATTTAGTGAGACTTATAGTTGCTGTATTAAAAATCCATTTCCAGGTAACAGATAGTAAATACTGGTGGAATTAGACTGAGAAGATTAGTGTGGAACGATTTGGAGTGTGTAAATCAGTATTAATGTAATAATTATTTGTAGTTACAACATGTAAGTGGTCAGTAAATCCGGTTACCAATTTGAACCCCATATGTAGTCACTAATGCATATGACACTATTAAGAAGATGGTTCAGTACTGCTCCTCTGATGGCCAAGATCAGGTGAAGCATAATGTATAGTATTACCATTGCTAGGTGCAGCAGATTCTAAATGTATTTACAGCTGGCATACAGAGGTAGGAAAGAGGTCTGATTTGAAATTCATCATTTTCATGATAGATGAAAGTCACGAACAAGAAAGTAGAATTTTTTAAAACAAAAGTAATGAGCTAGGAACAAACAGTAAGGACAAAAATAGTGGAGATTGGTATGGAGACAAACATATTTAAGAAGGGTTACCAGCCTGGAACTAAGTTGGTAAAGGATGAGAATATTTTGATTTCTGTCAGCTAAATGTGTATGGGATTAATGATGTTGGGCTGATTCAAATACAGAGGGACTATTTATGGACTGAAATGAAGCTTAGGATTATCACTATATGGTTTTCTACCTTCCCTGATGAACCAGGAGGAGGTGAATGCCCTTACCAACAGTTGTGTGAGTCAGCCATGTGTTGCACTAGAAAGCAAAGCCCTTATTGTCCCTGTCCTTAATTAATTAATTAATTAATTACTATGCCATTAAGATGTATGGGGGAGTGAGGGAATAGATCCGCATATCCTTAACCTCAGCACTAAATGGAAGCGAGTGGTCAGGTTCACTCCCCAGCCTCTTTGCTTCTTGGGAAAGAACCCCTGGTACCCATCTGATAGGCTGGGGTGGGTCCCAAAGCCAGTTTGGATATTGTGGAGAAGAGAGAAATCTCTTGTCTGTCCTAGGAATTAAAACCTAAATTTCTGCTCATCCAGCCCATACTGTGTTACTGTACTAACTGAGATATTCTGGCTCGCTTGTGCTGCAGCAGATTTACTTCATATAGGACATGAATAATTTTACTCTAAAGTGTTAGGTATTTTTGGGCTGAGGTTACAAAAGTTGAAGAGATAAATTACCAGGCACTGATCAAGTTCTGGGAAGTTTATTTAAACTGGAGATGAAATTTATGTTTTGAAATCAAGTAATTTATTAAATCTGTGAGGAAGAATTTCTGTAGTAGTTGAAGGAATATACAATTATACATATTTATAAAAAGAATGATAAAACTGACTGTAGTAAATATTAGGGATACAAAACTGTATCTGACATCATTTTCCTTCCATATATGGACAAACTTATTTGGCCATCATGAGTGCAGATTTTGATGTGTAATAGACAACTGCTGGTCATGTATTTTGCATTCATCAGATATTGAAGAAAAGACAGAAGTGCAATGAGACAGTATTTTTTTATTGTTAGTGGGGTGGGACTGAGTCCCTTGTACTGCGGCCACTTCTGGCCTATTGTACCAGCCCCAGATGATAGGTGAGGGTGATTGTAGAGAAATTGGTGGAATGAAGATTGGCAGGGGAAACCGAAGTACTCGGGAGAAATCCTACCCCAGTGCCACTTTGTCCACCACAAATCCCACTTGACCAGAATGAGACCGTATATCTGCTGTTCATAGACTTCAAGAAACTTTGTGATTGTAGTTAGTAAATCCTTTAAGATCATTGAAGGTCATTGTGCTAGGGACAATTTTATGGCTCACCCCTCATACTCAGTAAATTCTTTGGATACATTGCAGAGTTCAGATATTCAGGGATGATGGTAGCAAATCAGAATTTTATTGATGGAGTTAAGAGCAGGATAAATACAGGGAATGCTTGCTGTAATTCAGTTTAAATCATTATGTTCCTGTCTGTTGCCTAAAAATATAAAATCAAAGTATGTGAAACTAATTTGACCTGTATGGGTGTGCAGTCTGGTCACACACACTAAGGGAAAAACATAATTGAGGGTATTTGAGAGCAAGGTGCTGAGGAGATTATTTGGACCTGACAGGGAGTAACTGATAAGAGTTGATGAACATTTCATAATTTGTTCTCTTCTGCAAACTTCATCGTTATGATCTAATGAAGGATCCATGTAGCATACATGGGAGAGATCAGAAATGTGTATAGAATTTTGATTGAATGCCTTGAAGGAGTAAGACCTCTTGGAAGGTATATGCATAGATTGGAAGATAATATTAAAATGGATTTTAAAAAAGAGGTTGGGTGTGTGTGGACTGGATTCATCTGGCTAAGGATAGGATCCATGGTAAGATCTTCTGGTGATGGTAATGAACTTTTGGGTTCCATGAAATGGGGGCAACTGTGTGAATGCCTCAGTGACTCTTTGCTTTGCAAGAAAAACCGTTTCATGTAGTTAGTTCCAGTAAGGTGAAGCTTTAGATTTATTGTGTGCTAATCTTTTTAAATTTATTTCAAAAGGTTGTTGCAAATGCACGACAACTCTGTGTTGGTCTGCAAAAGTATGGATACAAAGTTGTAACTGGTGGAACAGATGTGCATCTTCTGTTGGTAGATTTGAGGTCAGCTGGTATAACAGGTGCACGAGCAGAGAAGATTCTAGAGGAGATTTCTATTGCCTGTAATAAGAACACAGGTAAGGAAAATGATACAATGATTGTGTTTGCAAATTCATTCTTTTATGCTTGCTGACTGCTTGTTATTTGCGTTGTGCTTGTTTCTTGCTTTGGTTATTCTTCAACCATGAAGAGAGAGGTGACATGTTTCTCTGGAACATCAGTTGCTTTCGGTTGATTACAGATCGTTATATCCAAGAAGACAGAACCGTTCATAACCAGTGCTGTGAGAATCTCGGATCCTACAATAAAATTATTATTTGGGTATTTTCATCCAATTAGGATTCATAATTTACTTTATTCAGAAAGCATCCTCCGGTAAGCGGTTAACAAAACAAGCAATGAGAAAAACAAATTTTATTATGTACAAAAATGCATATATACCCGAGCTACTTCTCACTGTAGTCACCGCTGGAATTGAGGCACGTGTCGTATTGGGGAATAAGTTTCTGTGTGCCTATGTCTGCTGCCTGTGAGCTCAATCACGTTTTGACACCTTCAATCAACTCCTTATTACTGTTGAAGCACTGTAATCCCAACCAGCCCTTCAGGTAGGTAAACAGGTGGTAGTCACTCAGAGTGAGATCAAGGCTTTAAGGAGGGTGGTCAAACAACTCCCAGTTGAAATGCTGCAGCAGTGCTTGAGTGGGAGTAGCCGTATGTGGACACACATTGTCCTGGAGGAGCACTATACTTCATATCAGCATCCCACACCTTTTGTTCTGCATGGCCCTATGCAGTTTCATAGTGTTTCACAGTAAGGTAAAGTAAAGCTATCCCTGTAACAGGCCGTGAAAGCCCATAGGGTTGTGAGATGCTGAGGTGCCCACATTTTTTCTAGACAGTTGGCTCACAACCTTACACGTCTGCTGCCCTTTACCCCCAGGAAGATTCCTGGTACTCATTTCTGTTTGAGGCTGAGTCAACCCTAGGACCATAGTGTTTATGGAAGGATTAGGTAAATTAAAAAAATCCAACTCATCGAGACTTGAACCTGTGACCTTCCAGCTTGTAGCATAGTGCCTCAACCAACTGACGTTATTGTGGTTCCTTGTTTCATGAATTCCATCAACAGCACTCCTGTCCTGTCCCAGAAAAGAGTTGCTATCAGCTTTGTGGCAGAAATCGGCTTGTTTGGTAAATGTATGTGCATCAACTGCTTTGACAGCTCTTTGGTTTCAGCATTCACAAATGAAACCCATGTTTCATTGCCTCTTACTTGTACAATGTGATTGAGAAATTGATCGCCATCTTGTGGTATCGCTCTGAAAACGTCAAAGCTGAAGCCATTCTCTGCATTTTGTGCACACCCATGAGCATTTCTTGAACTAACTTTTTCAAAACTTGTGATAGCATAACTTAACTGAGATAATCTTGTAGAGAACAGTGCATGAAATTTGTGAGATTGACACAAAAGTTCTGAAATTTTGAATTTTCACAAATTTTTTTGGTCAACACTTTGAACAGGATTATCATTCACTACAAATGGGCAACCGCTTCACTCTTCATCATGAACATTTGTGTACCCATTTTTGAACATTCTATACCATCATTTTACAGTTCCTTCGCTCATTACATTTTGGCCGTAAACCGCACACAATTCATGATGGATTTCCGTAGCATTGATGTTTTTAGCGGGAAGAAAGTAAATTTTCAGCTGGCGGGATTTTCAATTGCAGGAGACATCATAACTTACTCTGTAGAGACAAGAACAAATACTAGGTGACCAGTTATGTGATGGTTTATGAGGCATATGATGCTACCTTGCATGTGTGTGCTCTCCCCTGCTCTGACATTACTTGCCCAAAATAAATGGAGTTAACTCTGAATAGGCCTCGTATATAAATGAAATATGAAAAAAATTGAAAAATGTTTAAGAATTGTGGCTCTAACATAAATTGTCATTTAGACAGTGATTTTGTGTGGAGGAACAAATTTAATAGAACACAATTTTAAATCATACTCATATAACTGAAAACCATTTCAGACAATCAGTGCAGATAATACACGGGGAAAACAAATATTTTATATTAGTAATGTGATGAGGTATTTAGAAAATAAAACAAATTTGAACATTTCACTTCTTTTGTTTATAATCAAGGGGTTGCTAAGTACAGCAAAATGATAATAGATTCACAACTCAAACATAATGTGTCTGAGCTAGATTGTTGTATTAATTCCTAAGTATATTATGCAGTTCCAGGAGATAAGAGTGCATTGAATCCAAGTGGGATCCGCCTGGGTACACCAGCCCTCACAACTAGAGGATTTAAGGAGAAGGACATTGATGAAGTGGTAGACTTCATACACAGAGGTAAACACTTGGTGTTATAATTCTTATGTAATTGTTTATTATGGGAATATTAAATTTAACAGGTTACATTTATTTGTGGTAAGTTGCTGTCAGTTCAGAGGAAACAGGCTTGCCATTTTATTTGGGTGGCTAATGCCCGTAATTATGGGCTGCTGGAGCATCATGACTTCTACCTACCTGCATCTATTCTGGGTGGGGGGACATCTGTGTGCAGATTAGTACATCCGATGGTAGGTAAGATGAAGACACGGGGGAGTCAAGAATCTTCAGTATAGAATCTTGTATTCTTTTGTCTTAATTCAGTGAACGCATTCTTAATTTTTATTGCATCTTCACTCTTTCTTTTCATTAACTTTCAGATTTTTATATCAATGATCTGCAACAATATGTCAGCTTAAAATATGTTTTGTATGTATTTTATGTGCCTTTTGAATGTTTCAGTTCCATATGTGTAACAGTCAAATAACATTTTGAACTGTTACTTTTCTGTTTATTTCATTTTTAATTTATCTATTATCATCTATATATGTTCCCACATGAAAAGAGGTATGTTAGTTTTGAACCATAATCTGGTATTATTCTGTCCCAGTTGTTAAATTTTGGATAGCGAACTTCTGGGGTGGGAACATCAGAAGTGATATATAAAGTAAAATCCTGAAATAAGGCACAGTAAGAAATACAAGTATATATTGAACATAAAACCCCAAGGAAACTGTGTGAAAATTCTGTTTAACTTTCCATGTAATGGTAATAACTGGTAAGTGATAAGCGGCCTCCGTAGTCTAGGGGTAAGGTTCCCACCTCGTGACTCAAGGTATGCGGGTTCAAACCCGGCGGAGGTCGTGGAATTTGTAAGGGCGGAAAAATTCAGGGAACAAATTCTCTGGGAGGGACTTCAAGCTGTGGGTCCTGTGTCGTAGCTTTACGGCATGTAAAAGAATCTCGTGTCCCAAGGAGACCTCTGAGCAAAATTCAGGACATTTCCCACCTAACAGTAGTCTCTTAACGCCTCTGGTAGATGGGGGATGCATCAAGATACCGCTGAGCCAGTAGAGGCCGAACTCACTGGCTGAGTCGGGACTGATGGCACGCACCAGTACCGATAGGGTATAGAGACTGGTAGAATATCATAGGGGGACGCACAATGGACCAATATCTGGTCTAAGTGCATGGGGAAACCCACCCTCTCCAATGAACAACAACAACTGGTAAGTGATTGAAGCTAGAATGTGAAAAATTGTAGAAAGATAGAGCATGAACACATGTACAACAGAAATCTTACACATGTACAACAGTTTTGTGTGTTAAAAATATGGATATGTTGAAACTGAGAAACTTGAGTTGTATGTAAAAAATGTAATGTATTTTAGCACAAATTATGTGTGGAAAGGGGACAAAAAGTTATATAATTATTACTTTATAATTCCTGCTAACCTTATTGTGTAAATTGAATGATCAAAGAAAGTAGGCATCATAAGTTCTTAATGTTATAATTTGAATGTAGATAGGTACTTTAACCATTGCATATTGTTAAATGTAGCACTTTTTATCAATTTGATGGTTGCTTCTGCAGGAAATTGAACATGAAGCTTGCCAAACATTATCAGAAGCTGATAAAATTGAAACAGCCAAGAATTGTTGTAGATGTGAACTTGTTTATTTACAGGCCTTCAGTTGTCAAAAGAGGTGACAAAAATCTCAGGACCAAAACTGGTTGATTTCAAGCGTGTCCTGAAAGAAGATGATACAATCATACAGAAGGTGAATGAACTACGCGAAGAAGTCGAGGCTTTCTCACGGACATTCCCTTTGCCAGGATATCCTGACTACTAAGAAGTATATCATCACTGAGCTGAGCTGCTCACAGATTGGGAAAACTAACAATATCCATACATCAGAGTTTAAACATTCCTCTAGATCATCAGTGTTTCCAGTTGGAAACAAGTGTTGGTCCAGCTACTATATTTTGTGCATCATCAACTTTTGATATTTTAAAATATATTTTTTTATTTGCTCTTTGACTTGTAGCCACATGTACCATGTAGTGTTAATGAGAAATAATACATGTGCTGAAAATTATTTTATTCAGACACGACACGTTGAAAATACGAAGGATATCCAGAAAGTCAAGATACAAAGTCCAGAAAATATATGTAAAGCATTCTTTTTTATTCACTTGTAGAAATTTTACAACACACTTTTATTTACTTTTCAACATAGTCACCATGGATCACGATGCACTTAGTGTTCCTGGGAAAGAGTTGTTATTCCAGCATCATAGAAATCTCCCACCTGCTCTCTTAGCCATGGTGAACAGTTCTTGACACTTCTGGTCTTTGTTGATGAAGTTCATCGATGGTTAGAAATCTGTCAGCATGAATGTTTTCATCGGTTTTTTGGATGATTTCATTAGTGACAATGGATGGCCTTCATTATGAACAACAGTTCTTCCTGCTTCAAATTCATGACACCATTTTGCTACGTTTTGCCTGTTCTTAACATCTTCGCCATAAACAGAAACAAGTTGGTGATGAATTTCAGCAGCGGTTTCTCCTTTCACATGAAGAAATCGAATTACTGCACAAACTTCACATTTGGCGGGATTTTGAACCGACACGGCCATTTTAAACACATACTACAAGCACAACGTTGCCGTGTCTGTGGCCGGTGAACCCAGCCCTGTTATACTGTTCTTATTTCACATGGCACACTGCCTTTTCTGAAAAAAAAAAAAAATCCCTTGCATTTTTACTGGACTTGTATCTTTTCTTTCTGCATATCCCTCATATTTCTGCAGCGTAAAACTGAAATGTCATTTAAATCTGATTTAAGTTGAGATTCTTGTATGTTATTCATATGTGATATTACTGAACTTATTAGCATACGTTTCAGTCTGTCTCTTCTTTTGACTGTACCATTGTTGACATTTAGAACAAAGAAATCACATTTTATATACAAAAATAACTTATTACTGTGCTTTAGGTAGGAACAGTGGAAGGCAAGCCTTAGCTCAGATGTATACTAGCTTCTAATGTACATTTGCATGGAGTCTGTATGCAATTTATGGTGGGCAGAATGGGACTGGGGCAGTTCTGTCCTGGAATATTTTGGCTATATCTTGCTAATCATCATTCTGCCGTTGCTGCGCATGCATCTGTTATCATGGGATGATAGAATAAGCTGCTGAAAGACCAAGCATTATCATACTCGTGAAATGTTTCCTAGCCAATCATCCATTTCGAGTCCAACCCATGCATGGTGTACATAAATGTCCAGCATCCACTGCTGAGCAATGTGATCAGAGGAATTATTCTTATCCAACTTTTGTTTCATTTCTGCTCTTCTTGCTGCTGCTGCATGCTGGTTTCTTGTTTGACTTACTCTTCAGCCCTGAAGATGCATGTGGTATGTTCCTCTGAAACTTCCACAGACTTTCACTGGATTGCACAGTGTTAAATCCCAGAAGACAAATGCTTCAGGATATTTTGAGTCTCACTGGCCTTCCAGGATTGCCAGCAGTTATTAGTTATGATTCCATTACCTGATGGCTATTGTTGAAAAAAAAAAAGGTTTCAGGAAAATTTTGTGAAATAATGTACAAAGTTAATTTAATTCTTTTAATATAACAGTTGCATTACTTACAACATTTATAGTAACATACTTAAATTTATTTAAATTCACCCCAGCAACGGGCATTCCAACCCAACTCACAAGACTTCAATTGAGAACACTGAAATTACATGCGGTGCTACATTTTTGATTCCCAACTTGAAGGCGTAAGATTTTGTGACCTGAACTTTTTGATATGCAATACTGAAGAGCTAATTGGAGCAAATTTTAAGTGGGGGGTTACCTGGATCTGACAGAGCCTTAGTGTTAAGTCTTTTATACTCATTTTCATGTTCTCATCCACCCCTGAGCTAATTTTATGTAATGGGTTCGGTGCTGGATAAGAACATGTAGCTTCTGTATTACTGTGGTTCTACATAGTAATGCAAAATCCTGATTTCTTCCCATGATGAATGCTTTATACAAATATTATGTAGAAACATAATTTACCCGACACAAACGCCACTTCACAAGTATATTATCATATGGTGTGGAACATATATTCTCTCAATACAAATCACTAGCCTAAGGCAACTTTTATGCTTCACTTTCGGTTTGAGATACTCATGATGATTTTGATGAGTACTTTATGTAATTGTGGGTACTTTTTGGGGAAATATTTTTCACTCAGAATATTTTTAGCCTGCTTTCTTTAGAAAAAGAAAATAAAAAGTAAGCTTATGAGATAACCCTGTTGTGTGTGTATCCCCCTCAATAAACTTTTGATTACCTGAACCAATCTTTATGAAACTTGGCATCTGTATCATGGCCTATCTCAGTGGCACATTTGTAAATCCTTCCCATCACTTTGTGTATGTATGTATGTGTATCCCTCCCATTGTTGCTAGGCAACGGCTTGGTAAACACATTCCTTCAGCAATGAATACATGAAATAGAATAGTTGGCTATGTTGTATTCTGTGCAATCTCTTTTGTGTCACAGGAGTTGCTAGGCAATGGCTCTATGAATGAGTTCCTGTGGACATGAAGAATTGGAGGCATCATTCTCTATGGTCTCCATGTCTTATCAAAGGAAAGAAGGCAACCAGTTCTTCCCACAACTTCTTATCCACTTTTCATGTGCCAAAAGAAAACGATTTTATAATTTTTTTCACACCAAAGAATACTTATTCTACTGACTATATTAACAAATGTTACTGTAGTATCTAATAACTAAACAATTATATGCCGGTCACAGTAGCCGAGCGGTCTGAGGCGTGCATTGTCTTCGCTCGCTCGGAAGCCGGGATCGTGAGTTTGGATCCCACTCAGGGCATGGATGTTTGTGTGCGTTTTTCTGTGTTTGTCTACAGGTAGAGGCCTTGCGATGAGCTGATCACTTGCCCAAGGAGTCCTACCGCGTGTGTAAGATCTAGTAAACCAAAGTGAAACGGAGAGCTTCATGGAGGTAGGCCTAGGCCCAAATTGGGGCTGTAGCGCCACAGAAAAAAAAAATTATATAATTGGAGTTCAGCAGCTAAGAGTATTGAAACTATATAGTGTCAGTATTTCACACTTCCAGCTTGTATAATGACATGAGACATTCTGGCTAATCAGATGTTATGAATTGCAAGAGGGAGGAGGGAATGAAGCATTATAGCCAATTTAAAGACATTTAGCTGTCGCTTGTAGTAATACAGGAAAATTATGAAAACCTTCAGATTAGCCATGAAATCTGTAAAAAGAAACTCCTAGATGTATTTTAGTTGTGAACACACAAGTTATGTTTGTTACATTCTGCACAGGATACTGGAAAGTATTACAGGCCTTAACTGATAGCTGGTTACCCTAATACTAACAAAACCGTTGCTTTTTTTCAGCTGGTACACACCAGAAATCATACCAGAAAACAAGTGTTTACTTGCAAACTTGTCAGATGTTGCTCAGTTTGCTGGTGCATTGTATATAAAGCTGTGCCTGTAACCAGGCATAAAGGCCCATAGGGGTGTGAGATGCCATTAAGGCATGTATTAAGGAGAATCTAGATAGGAAGTACAGAAATAGGAACATCTACATTCTATCTGACAGCCAAGCTGCACTTAAAGCGCTTGACAAACACCAAACCCTCATGGAACTGGCCAAACATAACAGGGTACAACTGATATGGGTGCTGGAGCATGAGGGTATTGCTGGAAACGAAATAGACCAATTGGCAAAGATTGGAGCTGAACATCCATTCATAGGACCTGAACCAGCCTGAGGCATCTCTATAGGAGTCACCAGAAAGGCAATCAGGGACTGGACAAATATGAATCACAAGAAATACTGGGGATCCTTGACTGGCCTCAGGCAAACAAAGGGACTCATACGAGGACCCTCTACTAAAAGAGTGAAGGAACTGTTGAAGTTAAACAGCAACCAGCTACGATGGGTGGTAGGACTACTTACAGGACACTGTCACCTCAAAGGACACCTCTTCAAACTGGGACTAAATAAGTCCAACTTGTGAGAGGTGTCAAGAAGAGAATGAAACAGCCACACATATCCTGTGCGAATGTGAGGCCTTAGCTTATTTAAGATTGTGTCACTTGGGTCAATATTTTATGGAACCAAGTGGCTATTTTGATGTCCCCACATACAAAATCCTATGCTTCATTTGAAGCGCAGGATTGTTGAGGGGATAATCAGGAGAGGCACAATAGATCACTGTGGTCACAGTGCAAGGGCCAAGAAGGCCCACCCCTTATACATTTATTCATTCATAGGGGTGAGAGAGGTTGAGGCTCCCATATTTTCTAGACATTTGGCTCACAGATGGTGGTAAGGTTGTCAGCCTAATGTGCCAGCCACCCTTTTATGCCCAAGGAAAATCCCTGGTACTCATTTCTGTTAGAGGCTGAGTCAACCCCAGAGCCAGTGCAGCTGAAAGGATTAGGTCAAGTGAAAAATCCAATGACATTATTGGGACTGAATCTTGCAACATTCCAGCCTCAACCAACTATGCTACCCCATGTTCTGATCTGATATAAAACTGAGCATGAGTTTGAGGGCCAACATGCTTTCAGAAAAAAAAAGGAAAGCCCTGAAGGCAACTATGAGGAGTAAAATGAAAAACAAATGAAATGATGCATGTTAAACTGTTTAATTCAGGATTTTATACACACATATTTTAATAATTAATAATAATTACACTGCTTCTAAAGCTCAGGCATTCCTGAAGTTCATTTTGTCTCCACAGTGTGACAATATATATTATCTATGTGGTTTTATTGTTCTTTGAGCTGTCCTTAGAGTTGGCTAGAAAAATAGCATCAGTTTCTAAACAGTTATTGTTTAAAATCATTAATTTGCATACTTAAAACCAACTTGCTTACTACACACAGAATAAAATTGCTGTGGAGAAAATGTATACCTTTGTTATGTTTTATTCATTTAAAATTCAATTACTGTTTTTTTTTTCAGTTTTTACACACTGTTCATTTATTACACATTTATACTTAATTTTTAATTTATTTTTGATTAGTATATTTCAGGACTATTACTTCTTGCAGATTTTTAAAATTACTGCAAATTAAGGTAATAGCTTTGTGCAAGAAGGAATGACACTTTGAGTCAGGGAAAAATTTCAAGAATCGGTCATGTTTGAATGCTTTCAGAGAAGTGTTACACTTTATGGAAATGCCTCATAACCACCATCACCACCACCAATTTATCTCCAATTATTAATTTAATTTAAAAGCATTCGTTTCTCTTTTACTCTTTATCATCAACAAATGGGGGATTTTATCTTGGGTGTAACAGTATTAGTACTTGGGGGAGGGGAATACACTCAGCCAGCTAGACCATATATATCTTTTACTTGTGCAATGCATGGCCAGTAAAGGTTAATATGATGTGTGTGGGACCTCTATACACATAGAGAAGTTGACGTTTCCACCTGAAATATGGTCATATTGCTGAGAAATAAACTTTAAATACATCACATAGGCCATAAAGGGTGTAAGAAAGAAAACATTGCAGCCATTCATTTATGCTATAGTGTATAAAAATATGGGTAAAATGTACCCAAATAATTTTTACATATCTTTATGTAATTGGAAAGTTCCCAGTAGAGTACAATAATGGGTAATTAAGCACACAAAAATGAAGTAATACATAGAATACTCTCTGAACAGGGACAGGGATCAGAAATGTGACTGAAAACAGTTGAAAACAGTCAGTGATCTGACCTTTATGTCATTACAAATGTATATACATAAGTGAGCATTTTGTTTTAACACACTACATACAGCAAAACAAGTACTTTCAACCTGTAACTAAACACACTGCAAAAAAACATACATCTATTCTCATAAATTATATACCCAATATAAACTGATTATTTAGCATCATCTGACGGACTCTCTGTACAATTNACTTCTGAAAAAAAAAAAAAAAACCTTATTTCCATGATCATGTATTATTCTAATATTCTCAGATAGAACAAAATTTCTAAACCTTACACATTGTAGGTGTCATCAGGGGGTTTCATACATCACTATGGTGTTACAAATTACATATCTAGAATATTTATTGATTATTTTAATATTCTTTAACATGTATACATGTGTTAAAGATAGTTGCACATGTTTCAGATCATGTGTTATATACCATATATCCATGCTGAAATTTTCTGTATGTTAAAACATTTAATGTAGTTCTAGATTCTGTTACATCATGGTATTTTGTTGAATTTAGCCATTTTCCTTATTTTGTTGCATCTTATTGTTTCTGATATTTCTTATGCTTAGTAATCAAGCTGTTTGCCCAGTATGATTTTTAGTCTAGATTATGATTATGTGTCTGTATTGTGACATGATTCCTAGAAGTCAGAAACATGTTGCAGAGGAAGCCATTGCTCAGTAATATTGAGCACCAATCAACAGCCACATACATGCATCATGACCAATCTCTGACAGCTGTGTACAAACACAACAGTAGAGGAACTGTTGGGGGCGTGTTCTATAATCATTCTTCAGTGAAGTTATATACAGAGGTTTGGTGAGGTAACCAAAGTCTCTGTCATAAGGGACCGAAACCTAGTGACGTGTTTCTGAAGTCAGAACCAGCAAGGAACCAGCCAAGAATGATGTAACAGTCCATGATTTATTTAATCCGTCTTGCAGTGCATACATTCATTTTTCTCCTTCTCTCCCTCGCACTACATGTTTCGGCATAACAACGCCATCTTCAGGTGCTTACTTATCCACGTCAAACCAGTTCATTGCATGCCATGTTCACACATTAAAATAACTAAAATATGTATCTATCATATACATTGTCCACTGTTAAAAATATTAAAATTGTTCAGGATACCACATCGCTACGTCGCCCCTCACTACGTCAGTCACGCCCATTCTCCTTTGTTGGAGCACTCCTTCACTATCTTGTGTGTTGTGGTTTTGTTGTGTCGTGCTCCTGCGACTGCGTGTGTTATACTGTTGGGCTTCCTGGGTATGTGTGTCTGGGTATGTTACTGCCTTTCACGTGTAATAAATATGGGAGAGCAATCTCTTGTGTATCCCATTTCATTTAATTGGTCAGTGGATTCAGGTATTAGAAATATAATTATGAAATAGCTGTAAGCTATTATGTCAAACCCTAACATTGCTCTCCCATATTTATTACACGTGAAAGGCAGTAACATACCCAGACACACATACCCAGGAAGCCCAACAGTATAACACACGCAGTCGCAGGAGCACGACACAACAAAACCACAACACACAAGATAGTGAAGGAGTGCTCCAACAAAGGAGAATGGGCGTGACTGACGTAGTGAGGGGCGACGTAGCGATGTGGTATCCTGAACAATTTTAATATTTTTAACGGTGGACAATGTATATGATAGATACATATTTTAGTTATTTTAATGTGAGAACATGGCATGCAATGAACTGGTTTGACGTGGATAAGTAAGCACCTGAAGATGGCGTTGTTATGCCGAAACATGTAGTGCGAGGGAGAGAAGGAGAAAAATGAGTGTATGCACTGCAAGACGGATTAAATATATCATGGACTTAAATCAGTGCAACAGGACGCTAAAATACAACATGATGTAACAGATTACAAATTACTGCAAATAAATTATTTTAAATAAGAGTAATCAGTCCAAACCCTGTCACGTTACTACCACATAACAGCAGATACACCTGTACAGTCATATTCCAGTGTCTGGGGTTTACTCTGTAAAAGTTTATGAACTGCGTTTTGAAAGGTACTGTAATATCAATATTCTTAACTAAATTAGTAACAGTTTTAACATTATTCCCAAAGTATTTTTTTTTTATTGCTAGTGGGGTGGGACTAAGTCCCGTGTACTGTGGCCACTTCTGGCCTATTGTACCAGCCCCAGATGAAAGGTGAGGATGTTGGTGAAATGAAGATTGCCAGGGGAACTGAAGTACTAGGAGATGCAATAGGCTTGCGGAAGTGTGCCTCTAGCCTCCCTTCTCATCTTCTTTGACCAAGGAAGTTACAACAGTAACAGTCCAGGAACTTTTCCATACCACATCATTTCATGAATCTTAATTAAGTGCCACTTCATCATCACAAGTTTGCCCTTTCGCTATACTACTACTAACTGTATGAAATTAAAATTTATATTAGAGTGGTAACCATTGGCATAACATTAATGTTAAGTTTTGTGAAAATCAGTCATGTGGTTCAACATCTGAAAGAGAAGAGATATGCACACGTGTGTGCATGAATACACAACACACGAGCATTGTACCCTACCTTTTTGCTTACTTGAGGAAAAAATGAAATCCTGAAGTCTTGAGGTCAGTCAGTATTTGTTTGGAAAATGAGTAGACACATAATGAGATAAAAGTATGAACGGAAACAGATATGAACTCTTATAATGAAAATGCACTTCTAATTACTACTGGAAAACAAATATTGTATTTACAAGTCAAGATTATAATCTCTACTGTATACACTACATATAAAGGAAACTGGTAAAACCAAACAAAAAATACCAGGATATACAGAGTGTCCCAGGAGAAATGTGCCAGACTTCGGGAGGGTGTTCCTGATGTTAAAGTATGCCGATACGAAGGGGGACCCAAAAATAACCGGAACCGACCTATTGCGCGCGCATGCTTTGTAGTTATGAGTTGTGCTGCTAGGTGGTGTTAGCTGGGGGTCTCCCGCGACTGTTAGTGAGCTGGCGTCAGTCTGAGTTAAGTGGTTTGTCTGTGGTGCTCTGTTGTGTGTGTTCCTGTTTCAGCCCTTTGGCGATTAGTGAGAATGGCATTGTCCACAAAGAGTTCGTTCCGCCAGGACAAACAGTGAACCAACATTTTTACCTGGATGTGTTACGAAGATTACGAGAGAGTGTGCGACGAAAACGGTCCGAAATGTGGAGAAATGGGAACTGGTTGCTTCACCACGACAATGCTCCAGCCCGTCTCATGTGCAAACCTTCGGTTAAAATTCGCTGGACCGTGCTCCATGAGATGTTCGTTTCCTCAGAAAGTTGGTCAATGGTCTTTTGACGATCTTCATCAATTGCACGTTTGATTTTGGCAATGTTTTCGTCATTTCTTCCTGTCGAAGGACGCCCGGGGCGTGGCATGTCTTCTGTTGACATGTTGCCAGATTTGAAACAGGAAAACCACTCGTAGACCTGTGATTTCCCCAAAGCATCATCATTAAAGGCTTGCCGAAGCATCCCAACAGTCTCGGCTGCAGTTTTCCCTAACAGAAAGCAAAATTTCACGCACACTCTTTGTTCCTTCTGGTCGGCCATCTCACTAATCGCCAAAGGGTTGAAACAGGAACGCACACAACAGAGCACCACAGACAAACCACTTAACTCAGACTGACGCCAGCTCACTAACAGTCGCGGGAGACCCCCAGCTAACACCACCTAGCAGTATAACTCGTAACTACAAAGCATGCACGTGCAACAGGTCGGTTCCGGTTATTTTTGGGTCCTCCCTCGTATAACCCAAAACACCTATGTCCAAAGTTGAACAGTTACGGAGATAATGGCCCGAGAAAAGTGTGGTCTTCTGGCGGGTCCACGCACTTTACCTGTCAGCTGACAAGTCTTATCGATGTTTGTCCTTGAGTGTGGTGATGACGGCTCACACTAGCCGCATACACTCGGATACCAGAATGCGCAGTCAGCCATGTTACATCAGTGCTTGCCAGTCATGTGTCATGTATAGTGTTTGGAACCCTAACAACAACTATGACATGGCATGCAAGTTCTTCTGTAGTTCAATTTAATGGCTTCATGTCACTCACAAGTTAGTTTGATGTTACGTACATTATTAACATTACAGAAACCACATATTCCTGCCAGTTTTAATATGTATTTGGTAATCAACAAGTGTGTAACACCTGTCAAAGTTTCACACTTCTCTGGCCATTATCTCCGTAACCGTTCAATTTTGGACATAGGTGTTTTGGGTTATATCGCCATACTTTAACATAAGGAACACCATTCCGAAGTCTGGCACATTCCTCCTGGGACATCCTGTATAAGAATTTGAAGCTATGTTACACAGACTAAAAATAAGTTTCCAGAGAATTTTTACACGCGTGGATGGTACACAAAACCCATGATTTTATAGATATGTAGCAGATCTTATTTAAGAATATCAAAATAATCAACAAAAATCATTCCAGATAATGTGCAACCTTGATGTATATGTTTAATAGCTACATGATGTATATATGAGGTCCATGATAATGACTAAATAGAGACCAAAACATGTCAGGTTTAGAAATCAATTTTTATATTATACTTATATTGAAATATACCACCAAACTCCAATGCAACAGTTCTAGAATCTCTATAACTTTATCCTGTAAATTTGAAATAACTTTTATTACTAAATTTTCATTACTTGAAGTTTCCTACAGTTCCCTTCCACAATAGTAGCAGACATGATGTCATGTTATAACAAGATCAGAGGTGGCAGACTGCAAGATTTGACGAATAACAAGACTACTCAGACAGCAATGTATTAAGTTGTACCATGAACTACAGTAATAATATTCTGCCTGAAAGTAGTTCCCTCCTGCAGCTATTCATGAACTCCAACATTGTTTCCAACTGTTAATGCACTACCAGAAGTCACTGTCCTTCAAGCTGTTTATAACAGACAAAATAACCTTCCAAATCCCTTCCATGGTGTCAACATGAAATCTTCTCACATAATTAATTCTTCAAGGAATGAAGGAGGAAGAAGTCACATGAAGCGAGATCTGGCAAGTAAATGTGTGTTCCATGACCACGATTCTTTTCAACAAAAAGTCCTTGCTTGCAAGTGAGGTTCCTCAACACCATCTCAGCACAAACTTTCTTCAATCCCAATTTTTCAACTGGAATCAATCATATAATCTCTCTACTGATCTCCAGTTCTTCTGCAATCATTCTGACAGCATGACATTGATCATTCCATTCCAGAGTTCTCAACTTTTCGACGTTTCCATTTGAATTTGATATCTGATGTCTAGTTCGGCTGTCAAACTCAACTTCATCCCATCTTCCAGAAAACTATTTACACCATTCAAAAACATGTGCTCTTGACTTAATGTCTTCTCCATATACTCACTTTTACATTTCCAACATTCTGGTTAAGTTGTTACAAAATCTGAACAAAAATTTCATGTTTAATCTTTGTTCAAAACATTAATCACCCATTTTCATGACATGCTAGGTAAAGTTCAAACATGTACCTATACATACTTGCCATCAACTACAGAGTGACTCATGCTTTGTAATTATTCAATTATATGTACAGTGTCAATAATGCAACAGGATGCTAAAATATAATATCATGCTTTGCAATGTTGCCAGTGTCATACTTTGTCACACTTCATAATTAAAAACAATAAAAAGAAATTAATCTATGAGTAAATTTAATATATACTCATTTCACCTGTAATGTGACCTTTCTGATCATGTCCTAACTAATGATAAACCCATAATTACAGAACAGGAAAACAACAAAGCTCATATGTATTATCAATTAAAAAAACAAAGCATTATATCCAACATTTCAAAATGTATCTCGCACGGTCAGTGCAAATCTAACAAACCTATGCTACATGCTCTTTATACAATCAGTCATTAGAAATCAGTACTTTACTAAGTTAATCAGTGAAATTCAATCTAGGCAGGACCACTCCAATTACATGTATATGCTATTAATGACCTATTTCTCATCTTTCAGACATTACTCAAGATTAAGAGAATTTTTTGGGGGGGAGGGGACCGATAGAATTCTGAAAGTAAAACTGCAAAGGTTATTAAAAGATTGTAATACCATATGTTCGTTTTGCCCTAACCCATGGCCATGTACTGCACACATATACTATATAAAATGGATAAGCTTACACTTTTTTAACCAATAGAGTTTCCATGTTTGCTCTGAATTGTGGAGGCTGAACAAGAAATCCTGGCAAGTGAGGGGTGTGCAGTGTTACTGGAAGCTATGAGTAGACACACTCTATGTCATCTATCAATGTTGTTGCACCACCACTCCATGACACACCACTTGTCCTGTCACTATCCTGCACTATTACATCAATCCAGTTCATCAGTCTCCATGTGCTGACGTGATGTGGAAGCTCTTGGGTGTGATGATGGGGACTCGTCTTCAGACTCTGAATCATCCAAGCCACTGAGGAAGGACTGAAGAAGATTTCCTATGAATCAAAGCATTAATTATTTAAATCAGAGGTTAAATGCTTACAAGAGGAAAGGACAACACAGACATATTAATTAGCACAATGGTTCAATATACCAAATCTGCTCAACATAATTTACACTTTTTTTAATAAAAATTTGTGTCTCAAAATTGTGGCAATTGAAATATATAAATATACTTTTCTTAGTTATAATTTTAAATGTTAAATTGTGGCTGGGAAAAGTTGACATAAAGTCCAATTTTGATTCACTTCTGTCGGGGCACATAATACAGTATGCGCCAAAAAGTACAGTACTAAAATGAAAACACATCCTGTTAATACCACTGTCTATTCATGTGAAGGCCCCTTGCATGACAGAACCTTCTCAAATCCTGAAGAAATGGTCTGATCACCAAGTCCCTGTAGCGTTCTTGGGTGACAGTGAGAGCATTGCCTTCCTCATCCTCAATGAAATAGGGGCCTAATATACCGTGTGCTGAGACGGCACACCATATTGTCACACGTGTACTAAGTAGCGGTTTCTGGACGGTAACATCTGGCCACTCCAAACCAAGGAAGCGAGTTGTCTGTCGACCACTTCTGTATGAGCAGAAATAATACTCAACAACAAATACTTTTTCCACCGTTGAGAGACCCATTTTCAATAAATGCACAACACAACTTCCTTTTCACCACTGGGAACACGTGTGGCTGGAGCAATGCCCCGTCGACAGACACATATGCGCATTTGAGATGTGCGAGTTTCAGTACTGAAATTTTTGGCACATACTATATATGTGGAAGGATAAAGTATGTGAGTAAAAATGTGTACACCTGACACAGACCTGTAACAACATGCAGAACTGCACTTGGGAGTCATGTAAATTTATGTATTATTTTATGGTGTCACAATATCAAAGTCTGAGAACCTGTGGCCTGTGGAAATACTATTTTGCTGAATGTGATCTGAAACATTATTGCCAATTCATACATGAAGATAATTAACAAATATTTACAGTAAAATCCTGTTCAAGGTTTCAGCGGGGAACAGTGAACCTAAACACTAAACAGAGATAAATCTTAAATAACAGATATTTCACACTGAGGCGAGTGACTTGGGATAAATGAAAATGAACATTAAATGAGGGGAAACCACTGAAGAAAATAAACTGGGGATTTCACTCGATTATGTATAGATTATGGACTCTATTATGTATAGATTATGGTCTTCTTGGTTATGACAATGTGTAGACTTGTAAGTTGCTACAAACACTCAAAAGGAACAGAACAGAAGACTTTTATCCTGAAGATGGAGGTAAAAGGTAAAGGTAAAGCCATCCCTGTAACAGACCATAAAGGTCCACAGGGTTGTGAGACGTCGAGGCTCCCGCATTTTCTCTAGAAGACTCGCTCACAGATGGCGGTCAGGTTGTCAGCCTTACATGCCGGCCGCCCTTTACTTCCAAGGAAGACTCCTGGTGCTCATTTCTGTTACATGCTGAGTTCGCTCCAGGGCCACAGTACGGCTGGAAGAATCAGGTAAATTAAAAAAAAATCCACCTCATTTGGACTCAAACGCTCAACCTTCCGACTTGTAGCACAGTGCCTCAACCATGCAACTGCATGTCCCCTGGAGGTAGTAGGTTCCTACAAAATGTTGGCAATTGCCTACCAGACTAGACAGTGTCATAACCAAGAATACCACAATCTAAATTTTTGTATGTTTATTGTGTTGTTTGTAAAAATATTATTGGCTAAAACTAAGATACACATATACTGTATATGTGCTGTATCCGAGATTCACACCTATATTTAATGTTTACTCTTTAAGTATGATGACCTGAATTTGAGGTTCATTAACACTGTAAATATTATATGAATATTCAATATGCAATGCTATAGACCTTGTAGCAAAACCATTACATTCTGTCGGAAGCCAAATTCTAGTGATGAACAGATAATCTGTTTGCTGTCACATGTGGCATTGAAATTCATTTAGTTACATAGTGTAATATAGTTTCCTTAATCCTGCAATTCTTCTTTGTAGATTTCTTTTCTAAATATACTTACTTTTTTTTTCAAATTTGGCTTGCTGTGAAAATTATCATTCTATACAAAGCACAAAGTAGAACTGCTAGTGTGAAAGTCACCAATCAGCATTATCACAATCTCCAACATATCATAACCTTGTAACATGATACATCACACATACCAAAGAGACCTTGTGACTGTGGACGTGGCGGGGGAACTCCAAAGAATATCTGTGCTATCTTGTCCAAATATTCAATGTAACTTGGATCTCTCTCGATACTCGTCTGGTACTGCTGACACAACACTGTGAATGCTGCCAGTTTGCCGCTGCACACATAAAAATCATGTTACTTTTTTTTTCACTGGCTCTACAGCACCCTTGGGCCCTGGCCTCTGATTTTTCAGTTTCATGATCATTTCTACAGTTGGCAGGACTCCTTGGACGGGTGATCAGATCGTCTCAAGGCCTCTACCTACACAGAGGACAACACAAACACAGAATAAACACATACACATACCAAAGATCCATGTCTTGTGTGGGATTCAAACCCACAATCCCAGCTTCTGACCGAGCTAAGAGAGTATATGCTTTAGACCGTCGGCCACTGTGATCGGCAGTGNACTAAAAATGCAACATTTTAACTTGGTTTTTGGTAGATGTTTACGTGACTAACATAAGGCTACTGTGGAAGTGCCCATTTCGGTTACAACGACATTCGTTTATAACGACACTATTTTTAGGTCCCTTTGATGTCGTTATAACCAAGTTCTACTGTACTTATATTATAGTTCTCAGTGTCCACATGGTCATTCAATGTAAAGACCCTACAGATGATTATCATAATTATAATTGTGACTGAATGTAATGCTGACAAAATGGAATGCCAATACTGGTTACCATTATGAGCTTTCTATATGAACACACAGTAGTTCAGTGCATACTGTTAATCTAGTTACTATCTATAAATCATATATAAAGAAAGAATGAAAGAAAAAGGAAAAAATAAAATATGTACACCAAGCAGATGAGTATTTGAATCCATATAAATGTTATTCAATAAAATGTGTTATAATTTGACTTGGTTGTATGGTACAAAGGTGGTTTCTCTGTTAGTCTCTCAACAACATAAATTCAGTATTATTCCGCCAGATGTAACACAGAATTAAAATGCAACAGGAACCAAGACCTTTAAACATGTTCTCAAGCATTTGTATTAAGCATTACTGGTTCCATGACAACTCCTGTTTGGAGCAGACTGAAATGGATTAATATGAAAACATATTTTGCACATATTATAAGCATATATTTATTTGCAAGTATATTCTTAATTCTGTTGGTGTTGAGGTTGCTACAGGAGCGAATATGAACTGTCACCTTTAGATCCCAGAAGACATTACTCTTCAGAAACACGACTCTCTCCTACTTAAAGAGGCATACAGCAGGCACTGGCAATCACGTGTAAGTGTTCAGGGAGATACGACTATTTAGGAAAGAACACAGTATCAGACTCATGGGTCACATCTCAAGGTTTCCAATGTGTCCAAGATTAGGCTCAATGGGTTAAATTCTGAGAGCAAATGTTTATTTATCAAATTAACTGTGGCTACAAAAGTTAAACAACAGTTTTAAAAATATAATAATATTGTCGCGTGTTTCCTAGGTAACGCAACAATAATTCACATGGGTTTCCGGATTTGAGCGAATATTTATTGGACACTCACTTTTACACTTNCATTGGATAGGAGGTTGGATGGACCCCAGAGCCGGTCTGGACGATTTGGAGAAGTTAAAATTCTTGACCCTACCGGGACTCGAACTCCGACCCTTCACAGTCGTCCAGCCCGTATAATAAAATTTGGCTTAACCGGGTTTTCGATTAACCGTGACTTCCATCCCCACCATTAGCCCGGATAATCGAGAGTTGACTGTACTTCTTACACCGCTAATCTCGGTGAAGTCTTCTGTCCTTTGTTGGATGCGAGCTGGCTTCTGCTCTAGTCGGAGCTACACTAAGAACTCAAAAAGTCAAAACCCTCACTGGTCTTTTATAACCTGATCTTGGATGAAACAGAGCGCACCATATAGGAGCCATTGGTCTCAGCAGCTGTTATGCAACGAACCTTTAGTTGTCCTTTCATCTCCGGGGAAACGTGTTTGTTGNTGGTCTCAGCAGCTGTTATGCAACGAACCTTTTGTTGTCCTTTCATCTCTGGGGAAACATGTTTGTTGCGTAAAGTATTCCTAGGTAACGGCCCGCTGTTACTGCGTTTCCATGGAAGTATACATTCCGGATTCCTGGCGCACGCCACAATATGTTATAAACTTGAATATATATCTGAAATATATAAATATATAAAATAAATCTAACCTTTCAACAGCTTCTAGTAGAAACCATATGAAGTTCAGAAGTGGTAGTATATAAGGTGGACCAGTCTTCTTGATGTTTGGGTGTTGTGTGGTGTAACTGTCAAAAACATCCTTTGCACTTGTTTTGTTCTGCAGACATAGGTACCTGAAGAATGGATAAGATAATACCCACAACAGGGATGGACAAATTATAAGTAGATTCTAAAGGGTCCTGACAATGGTGTATGACACTCAGAATTACTGGGTCTTTGGACTTTGTCCATCATTCGGTATTCTAAAAATCTAGAGAACACAACATTTCAAAAACTGGATCTGATTCCACTCTCAGGTGAGGGGGGGGGGACACCTCAATCAAGTGACTGAGGTTAGCTCTTTCTAAGGGACCCAACAGAGTTGGTGTCTCCCTCTTCACATGAGGCCCAGGTCAAGTGATTGAGGTTAGCTCTATGTAAGGGACCTAACTAAGTAGGTGTCTCCCTCTCACATGAGGACCTGGTCCAGTGATTGAGGTTAGCTCTTTCTAAGGGACCCAACAGAGTAGGTGTCTCCCTCTCACCTGAGGACCTGGCCCAGTGATTGAACTTAAAACTTTCTAAGGGACCCGACTGAGTAGGTGTCTCCCTCTCACCTGAGGACCTGGTCCAGTGATTGAGGTTAGCACTTTCTAAGGGACCCAACTGAGTAGGTGTCTCCCTCTTCACCTGAGGCCCTGGCCCACTGATTGAGGATAGCTCCTTCTAACAGACCCAACAGAGTAGGTCTCTCCCACCTCACCTGAGAACGGAATGAGACAAAGTTTCTCAAATGTTGAGTTCTCTGGTTTTTTAGAATATCAAACAATGCAAGAAGTCCAAAAATCCAGTAATTCTGTACAAATCATAATTCACAACTGCTAACACCACCAATGTCAAAGCAATAAAGATGACTCAGAAACAGCAATTTAAAAGAAATGTTATGACTGATACAAAAAACACACAACTCTGTTAATACTCTGATGTGTAAAAGAACTTTGATTTCACAAGTGGATTTTCTCTGTGGTAATATCTTTGACTTGTATCTTGAAGGTATCTTGTTCGAATACTTGCCAGGGCACTGGGAACATTAACTGATGGTTTTGTGGTTTCCCATCATTCTCTCCAGGAAAATGTTGGAGTAGTATTCTGAATTAGGTCATAACATTTCCCCCCTCCATTCTTTCCAGCTTTCCAAACGTAATCATTCTCTCATCTCATTTTATGTTACATACCCTCTGCAGTTAGCAAAGAATTACTATGTGCTCACTAAGGCCGCGCCATAGCTCAAGCGGTTAGTCGCTGGCTTCCCACCGCGGCGGCCCAGGTTCGGTCAAGTAGGATTTGTGGTGGACAAAGTGGTGCTGGGGCAGGTTTTCTCCGAGTACTTCGGTTTCCCCTCCCAATCTTCATTCCATCACTGCTCCATAATCACCCTCACCTATCGTCTGGGGCTGGTGCAATAGGCCATAAGTGTCCGCAGTACAGGGGACTTAGGCCCACCCCACTAGCAATAATAAAAAAAAAAAAATGTACTCACTGAATAAACTGTTAACATAAGTGAAATAAATACTACAAGCTATAAAACTGACCTTCTCATATGAATGAGGCACATATCTGATTTAATATCATACTTACTGCAGCACAACTTGAGCAATGAACAAGTCCACTTCACTAGAGTAGCCTCTCTGCCTATGCAATTCTACTAACATTGCAGCACAACCAGAGCCATCTGTAGAATGGAGAAAGTGATACCTAGCCAGTGCATAATTCTTCTCTGAAAATGTGTCAATAGTGGAATATTTGATTAGTATGGTTCTGTCACTGTGATTTAAACAATGAAGTGCACAGTAACAATTCTTGGAGATAAGAACATTATGATAAATTCTACCTTTCCATAGAATCTGTGCTATGCTTTGGTGTAGATGTGGATGCCCACTCTTGTATTCCTGTGACCCTTTCATTGACCACTGCAATGCATTGGCAAGAAACGTTTCTCTTTCTGGTACATCTGAACTTATCATTCCAAATAAGCTGTGACATTAAAATAAAATAGCAAATTATGCAATAGAAAATATTAACAAATGAATACCAAATACCAACAGAAACCTTGTTAACTGGATATATACATATAATGTGTAATTTACCGAGATAATTTGTCAAACTGGTCTTCTGAAGTGGAGGCCTCTGCTTTGAGCAGGACATCAACCAACAGTATTGCTAGATCTGCTCCACTCGTTTGCTGAAATTGCAGAAACAGCATAAAAATTACGCGTATAAAAGTAAACAAAACTCAAACGCACACTTCATGTTTCAGTGATAAAAAACTGCTGCTTACTTGGTCATGTTTGAGTAATAATACTGCACCATCATATAGCAAATCTAACAACTCCTCGTACTTTTTCTGTCCAAGGTATCTGAAATAACGTGGTAAAAATGTACACGCAAGGATTCGTATTCCCCCCTCCAAAAAAATTAGAACAGCGAATCAGAGTAACTGAGTTTCGATTGATGCAGAAGGTGTGCTTTATATGTTAAATAGGCTTGTGGAACAATCGGTTTTAAAATTGCATTTCATTTCCATCGTTTTACTCACCTGAAATACAACGTCTTGTACATCTGGTGGGCTTCATAATAATTTCCAGCGTTTACAGACGATTCTAATTTCGAAAGAATTCTTTGTACCCCATGCATTCTATTACTCGCCATGTCTTAAGTAGCTGATACAACCCGATATTTGTAGGGTTAGCACAGGGGTTTGTGGGTTATAAGAACACAGGGGGTGCAATTCAGTGATGCGCAATCCCGGATTAGAAATAGGGGATTTCGCTTAAATATATTGGTCACATTGGAATAAAGCATCAAGCTTTTTCGATATTCAAAACTTCACTATGAAGAATTTTGATAATTTTACGGAATTTTAGATGGTGCAGAAAGTTGTCTATAGTTTTGAGTAACTGGTATACCTCCAGTAATAACAGCTAATCAGTGGCAAATGTGTTCTGAACGATATGGGTGACGAACCCAGAACAAGGAACGCCAGCGGTAAGGAATCTTGAATCACAGCAACTTCGGTTTGATTATGCATATGTAAATTATATTTTATATCATTAAGTCGTTCAGTGCTTAAACTAAATATTATATTAGCATTGTCACTGTCTAGTACTGAAACAAATTTTGCCAGTGGCTATGCCTAGGGGATTTTAGCATTGTTCAATTGTCTATTCGCCTGGTCCTTTTGGGCGCAAGATGCTGTTGCCTAGCAACCGCATGGCTTGGCGCTAGTGACGTAATTTTCTAAGTTGAGCGTGGTCCGCCAGGTAGAGCTAGTGCGAAACATCTCCGGACAGGTTGCGGCAACGCAAATGCCAGAGCACCTCTACACAATTTCCATAAAAGTCATCTTGTCAAGGGATCAGTCGATGTCAGATTGGCCCGCGAAGAGCATGTTATGGAGACGTTGTAAACGTGGTAACAATGTGTGAACCGGCGCCCGTTGCTATGACTGTATGAGGTGACATTTATTTAGGGATTATTTAGAATGCCCGGCAGAACACTGGCGACGTGGTACGGTGAGTAAATGTGTTATATTTTTGATAGAATGTTATTTATTTATACTGTTATTGATGAAATTGCGATATGAGCAGCAGTACCATAGAACTTCATACATAGAACATGTAGTGTCGTATACTTTGTTTTTGAAGTCAAGTTACTTAATTTTAGAATAAACATCATAGAGATCTGTTGTTGTGCATTGTGGTGCTTTTCGTATGAAAAAAAAGGTGTATCGGCTATACAAATAAGAACACAGTATATGAGAAGAGTTATTCAATATATGTAATTATATAACTCCACAAAGACACTTGTCAGTGTCGAAATTTCTCCGACTGCGAGAAATATGTGATTGAACAGATAATATGGCAATGATGTTGAAAACCGCGCCTTTTTCTGTAACCATATACGCAGTTTTGTGTGGCGTGTTGCCTATTATTCAGAACCTAAGTTAAACCCGTTTGCACTATTGCCAAATGTCACTTTTCGTCGGCGTTGTGGTGTGGGTGGTGGGCGGAGAGTTCTGGCGTATCTTTATAATAAGAGTGCGTTAAGAACATAATTTTATCAGATAGGCAACATCAGCAAGTACTCAAGCGATACCAGGTTTTACGTTTATGTCTAGGTGGACGAGCTCTCTTTGTCTTTCTAAAAGAAAAAAAAAGGGGGGGGGGGGGNAGAGACGAAACGTATAACCCATTCGTAAAACATACGTCCCCGCGTCAAACGTTGACTGATCCGTGAAGTACGCCAGACAACAGTCGATTAATTGTGATATGAATAAAAGTCATTAACATACGTCAGACGTGTGACTAAGAAAAGTATCACTGTGACCGTGATGGAGTGCGGCGTATTCAGGAAACTGGTATAATTTCGGAAGACAACAAGTGCTGCTTATTGTTCTTGTCATCTTGCACATGGTGCCACGACCCCCTTCTAATGTACGGTCTCATCTCTGTGTTCGTCCTCTTTCGTCCCCGGCCCCCTCTTTGCTGGATCGATGTAGCATTGCAGGCAGCCCCCAAAAACCGGCCAAGAGAAGCAAGGTTGCCATATCAGGGGTTATAGAACGTTATTGCTCTATACTCATATTGTTGCGTAGGAGGGTTTGGAAGTGTCCACAGAGCCGGGCAACACCATTAATTCCCAAACATAATTTTATTTTGTAGATTAACTATGAATTGAAATCAGTAAATTTGATCAATACATAAGAAATTAATGTTCAAATGCCGGTAGTTACACATCCTATAGCTTGTATATGTGTTTCATGCATTTGTTATTTGTGGTACGCCAGATGTGCCGAAAAATTTTCAAGTGTCTACAATTCGGATCGAACAAAACTATCAGTTCTGGAAACTAACCATATTTAAAGCGTGCAAAATACTGACAAATCTATCATAATGCTTCCTTACATTTATCGTAGTTGTCCCACGAGCGGTGAGTGGGACAGTTTCCCCCCTCCCCCAAACTTTGGAACACAATTTTCGAATACATCAGTGGCCTGTGTTATTGGTTTCTTTAGTACAATAATATGCCCTCTCAGCGTGAACCCCTGACCTTCGTCTTTCAGTTCCAAAGTCCCGTCTCTGTTCCTCTTGTCTGAATCTTCGTCCATCTCTCTTTCTCTCTGTTTCTGTGCTATGTAAAGTAAGAGCAGCAATAAAAAAGGAAGAAATTTAGAAAGAGCTGCATCTATGCCCGAGACACACCTTGGCCTTCTACACGTCCCCGCTGGGTACGTTTTGACTTGCGGCAACGAAGCCGTCCGACTAGAATCAAACCAGCAGGCGGGCTAATGAAAATAAATCGCTTCCACCACCCCTAGCAGGAGTAAAGACAAAAATAAAGACAGAAAATACCCTTTCTGCTTTCCTCACAGAAGGAATATTAACATTACGTTAAAATGTTGCATTTGTGCAATGACATATCTTGGCCTACATCTTTCGCTTATGAGCATAACATTCCTTATCGCCAAATACGAAAGCAGAACAGATATAGACGTCCCTGGAATCTTAATATAACGGTAGCTAATTTATCTTTAAAAAATACATTGAATTTCCAGTATTTGGGAACGACAGTTACAGGTCAAAATTCTATTAAATAGGTTAAATTCCGTGAATGCTTGCTATCGTTCAGTCTTCTCTATCCCTGTATGCTGGTTAAACACATGCAGATTAAAACACACCAAAACTGGAATTTTACCTGTTGCGTTTTATGGGGGTGAAACTTGGTATCACACATTAAGTGAGGACGTTATTTGAGGAAAGGACGCTAAGGAGAATATTTGGTCGAGGAGATAAGTAAAAAAAAAGTAAAACTATGCCTGTGACAGGCCATGAAGGCCCATAGGGTTGTGAGACGTTGAGGGTCCCACACTATCTAGACAATCGGCTCAAAGGTGGCGGTAAGGTTGTCAGCCTTACGCCAACTTTAGGAAGAGGTTATATTCCTCACTCATTCACCTTCGTCTTTAGTGCAAATTAAAAATGTTTACAATCTTCCGTTAATGGACATGCGGTAGCATAGTTGATTAGGGCACTATGCTACAAGTTGGAAGGTCGCAGGTTCTGTTCCCGATGAGGTCATTGGATTTTTCAGTTGACCTAATCCTTCCAGCCGCGCTGTCTTCCTAGGGTTAAAGGGTGGCCAGCCCGGCGCATAAGACTTACAGCGTCACCGCCACCTGTGAGCCAATTGTCTAGATAATGTGGGACCCTCAACGTCTCACAGCCCTATGGGCCTTCATGGCCTGTTACAGGGATAGCTTTACTTTACCTATTCCTCTTTAATTTAAAATAGCATCAGTTGCTACATGTTTCGGCCTTACTTGACCATCTTCAGGCAATTGTTCACTCTTTGAAACCGTCGCACTGCACTAGATCTTAAGTCAATATATTTCCATGCTATTGCATTGTCGTTGTTCACATTAAAACGTGTTTATTTGAGAACGAAACTCTTTCTCCGTTCCGCGTTATTTTCCTTTAGAGGTGTCCATGTTTGTACACCCTTAGACTGAGGGTGTTTGAGCACAGGGTGCTGAGGAGAATATTTGGACCAAAGAGAGATGAAATCACAGGAGGTTGGAGAAAACTGCATAATGAGGAGCTTCATAACTTGTACTCTTTTCCAAGTATAATTAGAATGATCAAGTCAAGGAGGATGAGGTGGGCAGGTCATGTAGCACGAATGGGGGAGAAGAGGAATGCGTATAGGATATTGGTGGGAAAGCCAGAAGGAAAGAGACCACTGGGAAGACCATGGCGTAGATGGGTGGACAATATTATAATGGATCTTAGAGAGATAGGATGGGATGGTATGGATTGGATAAATCTGGCTCAGGATAGGGACCAGTGGAGGGCCTTTGTGAACACCGTGATGAACCTTCGGGTTCATTAAAATGTTGGTAAATTCTTGAGTAGCTGCAGAATTGGCGGCTTCTCAAGAAGGGCTCAGCTCCGTGAGTAAGTAGTATGTATGTTCTCACTAGTTCCCACCGCAAACAGGAAACATTTCTTTGTGAATGCCCTTTGCATTGAGTCCTTTTTGACCACCAAAAAACGCACAACAGAACGCTGCTCTTCGATAGTGTACACATCAAGCACGGTAGCCATTTTGACTACTGAAACCAACCTCTAAATATGTCATGAAGCTGGAATGTGCTCGGAGAAGACCCGCCCCAGCGCCACTTTGTCCACCACAAATCCCACTTGACCAGACTCGGGATCGAACCCGGGCCACCGCGGTGGGAAGCCAGCGACTAACCGCTTGAGCTATGGCGCGGCCTATTGTAAAGTAAGTAAAGTAAAGCTATCCCTGTACCAGGCCGTGGAGGCCCATAGCGTTATGAGACGTCGAGGGTCCCACATTATCTAGACAACCGACTCAAAGATGCCGGTAAGGTTATCAGCCTTACGCGCCGGCCGCGCTTTACTTCCCAGGAAAATTATTTAATTAATTTATGGTACTCATTTCTGTTAGAGGCTGAATCAACACCAGGGCCATATTGCGGCTGGAAGTATTAGGTCAATTGAAAAAAAAAATCCAATGACCTCATCGGGACTTGAACCCGCGACCTTCCGGCTTGTAGCATAACCCCTCAACCAACTACGCTATTGTGCTAAAACGAATAAATGAAAAATATATTTTACGCCACCTGCTTATTGTTTAGAGCTCTAGAATTCGCAACACTAGAAGTTGGTGCTTTTTAAATATTTATTTATAACGGACTGGATTCTTGGTACTTTGCC